TTTTGCATCGCTTGTTGACATCGGGAAAGGGTGCTCTCAGACACGCCCGCGTTCCAATGTCGTCAAAACTATTTTTGAGAAGACCCCTCAAAGCGATCGTTTTTACCATTCCCCATGAGAAATTGAAAAATCGTCTAAAAGAAATAATCCACAATGCTTGTCAACATAAAAATGATAGCATACACTTTTATTACTTTAGTGAACAAAAAGGTAAAACATGTTAACAGAGAAACAAGTGATCAGTAAGCTGGAGTTTCTTATTGACAACATATTTGTTGAATTTGGAAGTAGACTTTTTCAACAAATTGTCGGCATTCCTATGGGAACGAACTGTACGCCTCTTCTTGCCGACCTCTTTTTATTTTCATATGAGTCAGAGTTGCTTCAGACACTTGTCAAAAACAAGAAAATCAAAGAAGCCAGGTCATTTAATTTCATATTCAGATATATTGATGATTTTCTTTCCATTAACAATCCAAAATTTCTGATTGGGTTCCATCAATATATCCCCCAGAACTAGAAATTAAAGAAACAACAGACACGGCTTCCTCCGCCGAATTTGACATACACGGTCATCTCAGTGCCAGAATCTATGACAAATGAGACGATTTTAATTTTGAAAATATCAATTTCCCCCACCTTAGTAGCAATATACCAACTTCACCTGCATATGGGATATACATTTCCCAACTTATTCGGTATTCAAGAGCTTGTAGCTGCTATTCAGAATTTGTAAAACGTCACTAGTGTCTGAGCAGAAAGTTTATGAATCAGGGGTATGTCAAAGAACGTCTCGTCATTTATCTAAAAAAATCATCGGAAGATACCAAGACCTTGTTGATAAATATTCCGTATCAACTTCACAAATAATATACGATGGTCTTGAAGTATAGATTATATGTACTGACGTTGTTTATCATCTTTATAACGTGTTATAGTATTCTTTTATTTGTCTTTTTGAATATTACTTTTACTGTTTATTCTATTTTTGGTGATACCCATTTGACGTGAATCTGTTCTTATACATCCCGTCATTGTGTTATTGTGCTATGGTAAATTTTTGTATTATTGTCTTTCATGTTTGCTAATGTGCTTTGTCTATATGCCTTTTTGTGTTTCTTTGTTACATATGACGTGGCTCAGTACTTATACATCCTTTCATTGTGTTATTGTGCTATGGTAATATTTTGTTTTCTTGTCTTTCATTTTTGCTAATGTGCTTTGTCTGTATGCTTTGTGTGTTTCTTTAATACATATGACGTGGCTCTGTACTTATACATCCCGTCATTGTGTTATGGTAAATTTTTGTATTCTTGTCTTTCAGTTTTGCTAATGTGCTTTGTCTTTATGCCTTTTTGTGTTTTTTATTTTTGTTACACATCAGTTTGTTTTTATAGTAATTAGGATTGTGGCACAATGTTGGCTGCTGTGCCCCAATTTTTGACATTTTTGCCTATTGTGTCTGTTTGTTTTGTTCACACAATATTGTCAATATAATGGAATTTTATGCGACTGTCAAACAAGTGAGAGGTTTGGCTGGTATAAAACCAGGTTTAATCCACCATTTTCTACATAAGAAAATGCCTGTACCAAGTCAGGAATATGACAGTTGTTATCCATTCGTTTGATGTGTTTGAGCTTTTGATTTTGTCATTTGATTAGGGACTTTCCGTTTTGAATTTTCCTCGGAGTTCGGTATTTTTGTGATTTCACTTTTTCCAAGGCGCTCGTCGTTAGAAACATGCGTTAAAAACTGCGCACTGTTAAAGGGCCAAGCCAACTTAACAAGATGCTTGAGTTCTTAATTGACAACGTATTTGTTATGTTCGGTGGACCAGTTTTAAACAAACAATAATCATTCTCATGTCGAAACCAACTGTGCTTTTTCAGCCTACTTGTTCCTTCATTCATATGAGGCTGACTTTTTAAAGTAGCGTCTTGGCTCTGTACTTTTGCATCCCGTCATTGTGTTGTTTGTGTTATTTTTCAGTTTTAATTGTGTGCTTTGTCCGTGTGACTTTTTATGTTTTTTTGCTACATATGACGTGTCTCTGTACTTTAAACATCCCGCCATTGTGTTATTGTTCTATTTTGTTTGTGCTTCTTTGTTAAATATTTGTTTGTTTTTGTTGTGATTAAGATTGTGACACGGTGTTGACTGCTGTACCCCTATTTTGACATTTTTACCTATTATGTCTGTTTGTTTTATTCACGCATCGTTGTCAATATTATGGAATTTGATGCGACTGTCATACAATTGCGAGGTTTAGCGCTATAAAACTAGGTTCAATCCACCATTTTCTACATAAGAAAATGCCTGTACCAAGTCAGGAATATGACAGTTGTTGTCCATTCGTTTGATGTGTTTGTGCTTTTGATTTTGCCATTTGATTAGGGAAAAGAAGCTAGCATTATCCTTTAACATGACGCTATATAGATGATGTCTTATCAATAAATAAGTTCAAAGTTTGGTGACTATGTTGAACGCATTTATCCCTTCGAACTTGAAATAAAGGGTACCCATGATAGAGTTAAGTCTTCTCCATTTCGTGACTTACATGTCGAAATTCACAATTAATGTCGTTTGAAAACAAAACGTAACGACAAAAAAGATAATTTCAGCTTCCAAATTGTGAATTTCTATTTCTATGTAGAAGCATTTTAGCAGCACCTATATATGGATTTTATATCCCAGTTGATATTCTATACCAGAGCTTGCTTTTTCTATCATGATTTACTTGATAGAGTGATGCTGCTTACAAGGAAGCTATTGAAATAAAGGTTCGAAGGGTGATGTTGAAATCATCCCTTCAAAAATTGTACGGACGCCATCACTAGTTGGTTGACCATTCACAGATGATGACGGATATGTTCCAATTGTTATAGAATCCAGTCTTCTTTTCATCGAATGTAATCTACCGAATTAGACTAATCACCGGGTTTGTACTTACATGTACATTAGCAACACGACGGGTGCCACAAGTGGAGTTTGATCTGCTTATTCTTCCGGAGATCCATGAGATCACTGCATGTTTTGGTTGTCTTTTGTGTCCTGTTGTTCGTCTTTTGGTCGTTTTTCGCTGATTCCATGGCATTTTCAGTTTGATTACGACACAAGAGTTTGAATTCTCATTGGGTTTTTCCGCCTTTCTTTTATAAAACAAAACTGATTCCCAAAGAGGGAGTATCATTTTTTGTCCCACAAAAATTAGAGTAAATTTCTTGTCGTCACTATTGACTCGCAATCATGCCAGATTGCAAACCCCAACTTTTTTTACTTTATGTATTCTATAGTCAAACTATTTTTCAAACATAATTACGACTTCGCGTTTATTGATATGTTTTTATTATCTATTACACAAATTATGTTGCATTAAACGCTTTTCAGGGAATAATTGTAATTGTGGGCACTTTGTGTCCATTTTTGTAATTAAAGAAAAGACGGGATTCCAGTGGTTGTCTTGTGGCATATCCTGATTACTTGTTTATTGTTAGGGGGATTCAATGCTTAGTTCAGATCTTTAATTTTCCCTTCTTAATTTATTGACTTTCCAATTAGTATAGTTTATGAAAGACTTAGAGCTTGGCATAAAGTAGAGACACCAGTTGAACACCGTATTCTGACCTCTACAATTCGTTATGTTTGTGTTAGTATGTGTCTTATTGACCTATTTTTATAACTGCATCTCTCCTTCTATTCATAACTGTTGCCTTTCAGTATAGACTATCCATGTCAAGCACATTGTTCTTATTCTCAAAAAAACATGAACAGCTATATAGATGATTTCCTCATACTAAATAATTCTACGATGTGTGACTATGTTGATCTCATCAATCCGTGTAGCCTAAACAAGATATACCACAAATATAGTTGGGTATGCTTCATACATATAAATTAGGTCGTTAGTTTTCTCGTTTGAATTGTTTTACATTTGTGATTTCGGGGCCTTTTATAGCTGACTATACAGTATGGACTTTGCTCATTGTTGAAGGCCGTACGGTAACCTATAGTTGTTAATTTCTGTGTCATTTAGTCTCTTGTCAAGAGTTGTCTCATTGGCAATCACACTACATTTTCTTTTTTATAGACACTTACATGGAGTGTATAGGTGAAGTTTACGCAATAATTGATTATTTCAGATTCCTCTTAGGAACGTTTGTTTTTCTGAAGAAACATACCTGCACTACCTTACATCTCCTTGTTGATATGACATTCCAGTGCTATCGCTTTTTTTCAAGATAAAAAAAAAAATATACGTGCGCTATCATGATTTAGTGGACTGTTATTGAATACCTGTGTCATAGAGGATTTCTGGTACGCCCCTTTCCTTTAAATTAAATTCTGCCACGATTTCTCGTTAATGACATGATCAAATCAGACTAATCATCGAACATTTGCTTGCATTGGACAACACAACAGGTATTATTAAAAACTGCTTACTGTTATGAAGCAAAGAATTTCATCACTGGTTTTCGATTGAATTTGTGTTCCTCAATCAAATTCAAGGATTTTTGCGATATTTTTATTGTTAGTCAAATTGCTCTTCATTTGTTTAGGTAAACTTTTCAGATTCCATTGAATGTGTTTGTCTGAATATACTATTAGAGCTAATACTTATCTTGTTTTGTTTGGTCGATTGCTTTGAATTTATGTGTTTTAATCTGGGTCATTAATTAATTTCTATCGGACATAACTTGTCGAATTCGTTGGATTCTGGCGTGTATAAATCGCAGCTTCATTCGTTTAGAGTTTGACGTTAACTGCAATTCTTCGCAAAGGGAGAGTGATTGAACCAAATAAGAAATAACCCTCTTGTGATTTATAATTGAACGTATTATCAATGGAGTGGTTGCATTTCTCACGGTAAACAAAACTGTACGTTTGTAAACGAATATTTTAATCCATTATATGAACAAGGAAAGTTTTTATAATTTGATTTTAAACAACGTGTAGCAACAGTTCAACAATCACAATTTAATCCGCTTTAAGATTTATAAAGTACAAGTTAAACTTGTATGTATGCCAATAGTACATGCCATAAGATATCTGATTAAACCCAGTGTCTATTTGTAATTGAAAAAGAATAGTTATTCATCTATCATTAGTTAGGAAATAATTTCATATTCTCGTATTTCAGGATTACCGTCTCTGAAAAAAAAAATGGATATATATCATAAGAAACTGATCTATTTTATAATTTTAAATTTTATAAAATTGAATCTGCATATATTGAATTTTTGTTAAAGTATAGTATATAGTACATGCCGAAACATTATTTCGGTTTTATCATGTATATCTATTATATAGTCATTTTATAAAATTTACTGTTTGCAAAATTATAAATTATTCTAAATAATAAGGATGTTCTTGTCCCAGGCAGAAAACCCTGGCCGTGTTAGGCGCCATTTTTGGAAGTTTTGGTCCTCGGTGCTCTTCAGCATTGTACTTGTTTTGGCTTTCAATCTTTTTTCATCTGAGCGTCACTGGTTGGTCTTGTGTGGACGAGACGCACGTCTGGCGTATTGAATTTTAAGCCTAGTAACTTTTGTTAGCTATTAAACGTGTGTTTCTTTGTCCTATATGTTCTCCCATTTATTTGTATTGTGGTCCTGTGGTGTTGTGTTTGACGTTGCCATAAAAGCGGGAGGTTTGGCATGCCACAAAACTAGGTTCAACAAACCAATTTTTTTCTTAAAATGTCCTGTACCAAGTCAGGAAAATGGCCATTGTTATATTATAGTTCGTTTCTGTGTGTGTTACATTTTAATGTTGTGTTTTTGTTGTGTCGTTGTTCTCCTCTTATATTTGATGTGTTTCCCTTTGTTGTAGTTTGTAACCCGGATTTGTTTTTATCTCTATCGATTCATGAGTTTCGAACAGCGGTATACTACTGTTGCCTTTATTTGTAATAATTCAGTTACGAAGCTTTTTAAAATATCAATACATTAAATACATGTAGAACAAGGCATAATTAACTAATTGTTTAAAAATCATTCATCTTACAAAAGAGACATTAAAAGCTTGTTAAATACAATTGATTCCGAATATCAAACTTTTCCTTCTTGTCCCTTTGTTTAGTTGTTTTTTGTTTTGTTTTGTTTTTTTGACATTTCCAGTTTACGATTAAAAGTAAAATTTAAATTGCTTGACGACATGAACAACGGACATACAAACACGAAAAACAAGACTTAATGACACCTTACTTACCTTTACTTCTTCACAATTGTTCGGACCACAGACTTCGATAATGGTAGCATTGGCAAGAGCTTTAGATTGGTAAAACTTAATTACTTCATTACCTAATAATGAATATACAACAATGACTAATTGTTTCACAACTGATCTGGTGTGCACATCATTTTTTATCTCGTAGTTTATGCAATTAATTTCACTGAAGGTCATTTCAAATTTTAAATATTTATTTTCTCGTAAAGTTGGAAATATTTGTTTATCTAGCTTTATATTTTTTTATACATCAAGATAATACATCTTCAAATTTAAAATGAATATTAAAGAGGTGCATAAATTATAAACGTTTTAATCTGACAATACTCTATGTGTAACTAGCCTGGAGTTTGTTTATCAAAAGTGTTGTAGTGTTCTATGGTAATACGACTTACTTGGTTCATAGTACTCCCTCAATTTGACCCAAACAGGTTTATGTCGAGCAACCAGGGCAACTCTTTTTATGTCTACTTCAATGCACATTTGCTCTGACAGAATCTATAGAAAATAGACAACATTGATTTCTTTAACCAAACAATGTGATAAGACTATCAAAACACAAACTGAAAATGGTTTACAAAACTTTCGATCGTCGACTCTCAGTGACCGTCACGTAATAGAATTCAATTCAATATGGAGATCTATACAAAACCGATGATTTGTATCACGGTAAAGCCTATCAACTTGAAGCTAGGTACAAAATATCAACTACCTCTGTACTAAATATATGCTGCGACAAATGTTATACATATATGTGACGGACGGAAGGTCAACATATTGAGAGTTATTATAATGAATATCCTTTTATAGACAGGGATTTTCTATATCGTTTTCAAATTACTTAGCAGCAACACCATTATTAAACAGAAAAATGCTTGTCCTGTGCATTATCACTTTGTTGACTGCATATAAAGTTAACAACAATCGAATGATTTAGTTTTAAAACGAACACATAAGAAACTCCGTATGTGTATAACTGGAAAATGTAACGGTGGTGCAATTGAGTGGTATTCAGAAGACTTGTCAAAATTTTTTATGTATTGATGGTTTCGTTTTGGTATTCTATTATATATGAGACAAATTTAAGAAACATATAATAACTAAATCGTTACCGCATCAAAATATAAATTAATTTGACGGAAAGCCTTCTCCACTTTTTTGTATTGCCCCCCAGTATTGGTTGTATCAATAGAGTTTAAGTCAGCTTCCATTCCAGATGGTAAAGATATTTCTAGTATTCCCATTGTACTCTGTCCTCCCCTTAACCAACTGTAATAAAATGAATAGTATTGTATAACGTATAAATAACATATGCAAAGTATTGCGCATCTGTTTACTTAAATGTTTGAGATGGCAGCATTAATTTTATATATTCATATGTACAACTGCTTTATTAGTTGACGCCACAACTATATTCAACCAATGCAGTTTATATATGCTTGCAATTCATGCTGTTAGTCATAAACATGTAAAACTGATATACTCTAAAAATCATTGAAACTTACAAAGGTTGCATGAGACATTAGAAATCCGCCTAATGTATGAAAAAGAAAAATAACAAAAATACCGAACTCCGATGAAAATTCTAAACGGAAAGTCCCTAAGCAAATGGCAAAATCAAAAGCTCAATACATCAAACGAATGGATAACAACTGTCATATTCCTGACTGGTACATGCATTTTATGTAGAAAATGGTGGATTAAACCTGGTTTTATAGCTAGCTAAACCTCTCACTTGAAATGACTTTTGTTTTTTTTGTTAAATATATCATTGAATTTTTTGAAATTTTAAGATTTTTGTTCCCCCTGATATTAGAACACCGGTATACTACTGTTGCCTTTATAGATTGTCTAAGCTTAAGTTGGCCAATTTTATTGAAATTGTGTGCTCTTGAACTTCTTAGTCTTCCAACAGTTTTGATTTGTGAGTTACTGGTGAGTTTTATGAAGACGAACCGCTCTTCTGGCCTCCACAATTATAAGATTGCTCCAACTGTTTTGATGTGTGAGTCACTGATGAGTCTTATGAGGACGAATCGCTCTTCTGGCGTCCACAATTATAAGACTGCTCCAACTGTTTTGATATATGAGTCACTGATGAGTCTAATGAAGATGAATCGCTCTTCTGGTGTGCACAATTATAAGATTGCTCCAACTGTTTTGATTTGTGAGTCACTGATGAGTCTAATGAAGACGAATCGCTCTTCTGGCGCGCACAATTATAAGATTGCTCCAACTGTTTTGATTTTTGAGTCACTGATGAGTCTTATGAAGACGAATCGCTCTTCTGGCGCTCACAATTATAAGATTGCTCAAACTGTTTTGATTTGTGAGTCACTGATGAGTCTTATAAAGACGAATCGCTCTTCCGACGTCCACAATTATAAGATTGTTCCAACCGTTTTGATTTGTGAGTCACTGAAGAGTTTTATGAAGACGAATCGCTCTTCTGGTGCTCACAATTATAAGATTGCTCTCTTTGATAATGTTGCTGTACATCTAACTTATTTTAACCAAGCGATACATATAATGCTACTAAAACCGTAATGCTTCCCATCTTCACCTTTATGCAAAACATATGGGGAAGCTAATTTATTTTACTGAATAATTATCCTACTGAATGACGAGAGGCAAATTTTACTCTCCTGTTTCCGATAGAGGACTTTAATTTTGAGAAAACATGTTAATCTCCGTGTTTTTTGAAGCATTAAACTATCTACCAAATTTGTCGTTGTCCTAACAAAATATCACTGGTCGCTAAATTGGATGTTGTGTTTAACGGGACAAAAATCTTACAAACATCGCAATATTTCACTAAATCCACTTCCAGACAGTTATATACTGTGACTTGATCTAAACATATTTTTCCATTCCGTCAATAATGACAAAATGCACCATGACTGAGAAATGATTGATACGTTGGTAACAGGTTATGTCTTTGTTTCTTTAAAACCTCTTCATTTCATCAATGTGTTACATTATGATTTTGTTGTTTCTGCATTGACCCTGGTATTTATTGGCGATTGACTCAGCTATACAGCTTACTGAGATATACCAAAGTCAATCCAGTCCGAGCTTGTTTTATTTTCCTGAAACCGCTTGTATTTATTTACCTTGAACATCTTGTATGTTTTTTCCTGAGGCATCTAGCATTTGTTTACTGTACATGTGAATTCATTTATTTTCGAGGATACCAATTTTTGTGGATTAAGAAAATCTTGTTTTTTCGTGGATATTTGATTTCGTGGTTTTGCCAAAGTCTGCATACGAACCTATTTAAAATTAGTCATTCGTTGAACATTTAAATTCGTGGTTCACCTGTTTTCACGAAACCCACAAAAATTGGTATCCAACGAATGAAAATGAATCCACAGGACCGGGTGCAGCTTGCATTTATTTACTTGAAGCAGTTTGTATTAGTTTTGCTGGAGCAGCTTGTATTTATTCACCTGAAGCAGCTTGCATATATTTACCCGAATCAGCTTGTATTTATCTACCTTGAACAGCTTGCATTTATTTTTACCTAATATATATTGTATTGATGTACCTGAAGCAAACTCTTAGTCTGAATCCTTTTGTTGAATCATTGAGTACTATTGTTGTCATAGCGAATGCTGGCTCTCGTAAGTCATTGTTGACATTAAAAAAAACTGCAACCTGAATATGATATAAACGTGTTAAAGTGGTACTAAAACACATATGACAAGTGACTTCCATCTAAAAGGTCGAAATAATTGAACAAAAATGCAAAACACTCGATGCAATTTGGTCCACTAATAACAGAGATAATTGAGTGTAAAGTTCAACTGTTTTTACCTTAGGAAAATCCAATCAACGCTACTTCCGGAAAGAGTACTAAAAATAGATCTATCGGAAGTGACGCACACAGGTTAAAATCTTTGGCTTTACTAGATGTTGATGAAAACGAACCTTTTCCTGATCGTGGATTAAAAGCACTGCCAATGAATGTCGCTATCCTGACAATATTTATTATTAAATGTGACCAATTTATTGAAAGGAAACACATGTTTCAGAAGTGAAGTGTAATAAAATTAAATGTGTTTCAATTGAAAAAAAGGGGTAGGGGGTAATTCACGGTGATTTTCTAATCAAGTAAAATGTTACTGATCGTAGGAAAGAGAAAAATTAAGGGTAAAAATATTATATTCTAGCTATTTAAAATAGTCTTTTATTGAGTCGAGAATAAGATAACCGGACACAGAGTCACAGGACAAAAAGTCACATGACAGAAAGTTATAAACTTTATAAGACAAAAAAATCACAAATAATTTGTTTATAATTGTTTGATTACATAAGAAAAATTTCTTGAAATAATTTCTTTATAATGCATATATTAGTTACAGTTTATAAAATTGTTCATAATCCTTGATTAATGAAAATTCATCAATTGTTAAGCATACAAAGGATATATCTATTGGTATCATAAAGCCAATTGAAGTACCAAGGCACTTTGTCAAAGTATTTTCTAAACAATTATTTAATCATTACTAGTTTTTTAGAATATTTATTTTGTATTCAAAGATGCCTAATACATATAAGCTCAAGAAAAGGTAATCCCAAAACTGAATCGTGTTTTGTGGGTCCTTTGGCTTTTTGTCCGCGACTTTTTGTCTGTAACTTTTTGTCTTGTTACTACATATCCTACATTCGAGACTACATATTGTGTATGTGTACATGCACGTGAATTTGCATAACAACTTGACAAGATGAGTAATGCTTCTTTTCCCTGTAATAAAAATTCAAAGTTTATAATCCGGGTATGCACAATACCTTTGAAATGTTGTTAATTATTAAACTACAAAGTTCACCAATGTATAAACAACAAGTGGCGTTTCTGCATGTTGTTAATTACCTGAGTGGAGGGATACCATCTTCTAATTACACAAACTGTTTCATCTTTATTACCTTACAGGTTGTTTACTTATCAATAGGTGTCAAAATATGGACTGTTTTAATTATCGGGATCAATAGGTGACCGAGAGGATTAATACTGTTTTCTTCTTGAGTTATTTAATTGTGATTGCTTAAATTTTCAAATGAAAGAAAATGTCAATATTTGTAAACTCAATAAATTTCTATTCTTAAAAAAACATATTTGGCGTTATTAAAACATTTTACATAGGACACATGTATTCTTGGAATGAACACCCCTGTTTCAAAAGATTTTATTTCAGTGGTTTTTGTTGTTGATGTTAATGCTAGTAGATATTTCAACTTAATTAATGCGTTTGTCGCTCTGTTATTTCTACGAGGTAGCTTTTATATCTTATTTTCCAATAACACAAACACACCCAAAGAAAAGTATATATAGAAAAGGGCCTGTGATTTAGTACAGAGGCATAGATCAAAATTGTATATGTCTCTATGTAGGACTATGCTGGGACCAGCTATAACATTAGTATATACTGTCCAAAGACAATCATATATACTGATGCTAAATGTTTGTTTAATTTTTAAACTTCTGTAGAGAATAATTACAAGTTTATCCGTTTTTTTTTTTATTTTTAAAGGGAAAAGCTTAATGTCGGTGATTTAGAGACAGTCTAACTTACGCGTCAAACGTCAACGCTACTTTTAACGCCGTTTTCATTTATCTATTGTTAACGTCACCATATCTTTTGTTAACGTTGTTCTATTGTTATGTTATATGTTACTATATTGAGTTGAGATTACACAATCAAACGAAACAGACGTTGTTTACTGCCTTCCAGACATTGCGTTTACCCATCCGTCACATTGGTGCTGTGACCAGAGAATATTATGACGACAAAGAAGGCCAATAGAGGAGCCGGAAGAAGATTAATTGCAAAGATAGAAAACGAGTTAGAGAATCCAACAACACAACTCGACGAGATCGAAAGCTTGTGTGAGACCTTGAAGAAGAAGAGGGATATTCTTACGCACCTAGACAGTGAAATTATAGAGGAGATAACAGAGGAAAACATAGAAGCAGAGATAGAAGACTCAGAACGGTTTGTGTTAGATATAGAACGTATTTTGACAAAAGTATGTAAAGCAAGCTCAAAACAGAAAAACAAATCAAATGAAACTAGCTCTAATCAGAACTTAAATCCAAATGCAGCAGATTTTGTTTCTATCAACTCCACATCTTCATGCAATACTCCACATCCCATGCAGAATAATGATATGCAATACAGATCGTTAATTAGCGCAACAAATTCTAGCATCTACCACAAGCTACCAAAATTAAATCTACCATATTTTGATTGCAATTTATTAAACTGGCAACCTTTCTGGGATGCGTATCAATCAACAATACATGATAACCAAACATTAACAGACGTGCAAAGGTTTACGTATTTGCAAAATCAAATTCAGGGTATATCCGCGCAATGTATTGCCGGATTACCACTCACAAGTGCGAATAACTATCAAGCCGTAGCAATAATGAGAGAGAGGTTTGGTCAGAACCACAAAATCAAGAACTCATATATTCAAAATTTGATTGATGTGCCAGCGCCGAGTTCAAACGCAGACAGGTTGAGAAACTTTTCCGACAGAATTGAGTTTAACATACTCGGATTAGAATCTTTAGGAACAAGCGAGAGCAAATTTGGAACCATTCTTACGCCTATTCATTCTACTGTTACCGCACATACAGATGTTTTACTGAAAACTGCCGTAACACCAGTTTGGTTCAATAATCGATCCCTCATGACGAAAATATTACTTGACGAGGGAGCACAGAGTTCATTTATAACTGAAGATTTAGCGAGCAAATTAGAAATTGAGTCCACCGAAAAGATTGCACTTAAAATATCTGGATTTGGAGGAAACGAAGGACAGGTTCGTCATCTTAAGAAAGCAAAACTAGCTGTTGAAACAGTTGATAATAACAAAATAGAAATTGAAGTAATCATTGTACCAAATATTGCCGCTGCTATTCATATGACATCACGGATGGAAATCAAAGCACAGCCTTACTTACATGGATTACGACTCGCACATTCGATAGCCGCAGAGGACAAATTCAACACATCCTTGTTGATTGGCGCAGATTATTATTAGTCAATAGTTGAAATCGAAATACTAAGAGGAAATGGACTGACCGCAGTTAAGTCTAGAACTGGTTATCTCTTGTCGGGACCCATACTAACTAAGAACGGAAGTAGTTCAAAACAATCTGCCATGATCAACATTTTGACTGATCACAGAGCCATTGCTTGCAATTTGGAAAAGTTTTGGAGCTTCAGGAAGTGATAAAATAAGAAGTCAGTCGGAAGTTGTAAGAGAATACGGAGAAAAGTGTATCAAACCCGAAAATGGAAAGTACACAGCTAGATCACCATGGGAACAAGATTTCCGCCCGCTGCAACATAAAAAATGGAATTGGTTAAACAAATGACAGAAAACGTTATTAGACATAGCAATGAGTGTTTACGTAATTTTAAAATTTAATATTTTCCTTATTTGTGAGATAAATCTATTTTAGTTCATTACACATGCCACTAGTATACATCACAGCTAATAGACATTACATCTGGTGGCCCCGGATATGTCGGTTATTTAGAGAGAGTTTAACTTACGCGTCAAACGATAACGCTACTTTTAACGCCGTTTTCATTTATCTATTGTTAACGTCACTATATCTTTTGTAAACGTTGTTCTATTGTTATGTAATATGTTACTATATTGAGTTGAGATTGCAAAATCAAACGAAACAGACGTTGTTTGTTGCCTGTCCAGACATTGCGTTTACCCATTCGTCACACTTAATGCACATTAGGGTTAATAAACTAGTCAAGCATATTACTGTGACTGGCAGTCCGCAATTCTCCACATTATTTGCAGAATAAACCAAGAACACTAATTTTGAAATGCTGCTGTTACTATAGGTCCGTCGGTAAGAAGGTAAGAACATTTTAGTGAAAGTAGAAATGTACATAATATCAAACATATGTCATGATAGCATGAGTTTAGGTCAGCTTTTTAACCTGCTATAACCTCAGCTTTATATCAGTCTTCTAAAAAGTAACTTCTCATACGACAGTTTTTTGTACGGGCAGAAAATCCCACATGGTATAACTTAACAAAGCAAATCAACAAGCTACGTCCTCTGTCGTCTTTTGGTAGCACATGTTGGGAGTGTCCTATTTAGAAATCAGTTCAGGCGGAAACCCAGTTGAAATTAAAGAAAAAGAAATTGAACTCTTTGTTAGTGAAGGTAAAAAAGGCCAAGTTGGTAAATTTGAATTGTTTACATCTGTTTCTACGGGCATTTAAAGTTTATTATGTGCCTAATTTAAGATTTTATGCATCTTATGGATTGTTTTTACTGAATTATTGCATAGAGCTTCGAGATATTGGTAAATTTTAAACTATAAACAAATTTTCAGAAAACAGTCAATTGTGGTAGGTGCAAATACATGTGGATATTTTTGTGCACATGCATAAATTCTGCCGAAAAAAAAATTCAAAGAAAGGTAACAAATTAATATTTTTAAATCATTAATTTGAATCTCTGCCCCCGGTGACAGTTTTTTTTGGTGAAAAACTCAACAAAATGGGTAAAAATTTTCATCGGAAAGAGAAAGTCGAGTACACCTTTTTATGTTCAGGCGGGTTTGAGTTGACTATTCTGTCTTTAAAATGTATAAAAGGAAAATAATTGATACATCATCTCGCTTCAGATTCTATTTTTTTTAATATATTGAGGCTCTATGTTGATATAACAACATTAAAAGTTTACAGTACTAAAAAAATTAAAAATATGGGTCAAGTGAATTACATTTCTAATACGTTATAGCAACAGAATATATGTTCGAATAACAAATTTTTACTAAAAGTACTTGACGACAGCCTTTTAGAGTGGATCTTAAAAAATGCATAACTTAAAAAAAAATCATTGTTTGTGTATTATCTAGAGTAATTAGTCTTTAAACCTCTGAACATGTTTAGTCTGCCTTTCCATGATATATTAAATAAGATTTTTTTTTAAATATTTTTTAACTTTCGAAAATTCCCAATGACAACTGATCAGACAATAGTTTAAAGTTGACCAAATGCATAAAACTACATTAAATGATGCTCAATAGCTAGTAGATACATTTGTCTTTTAAAATACAACTGGTATATAAGGATCGTAATGATGTTACGTGGATAAATTTATCGGATTTCAAGCGCTAAATTGATAGAGCGTCATCACTACAATGACTTCCATATTTACGATTATAAAAGCTGGTGGCGTAATAGGGAGATAACTTTGACGAAGTCCAATCCTTAGTGAGTTTCTTCATCGGGAAACTGCACATGCACGGTTTCAATACTTTTTTAATAATAAACATTGAATAACACAAGGAGGGACGAAAGATACCAGAGGGACAGTCAAACTCATAGATCGAAAACAAACTGACAACGCCATGGCCAAAAATAAAAAGACAAACAGACAAATAATAGTACAGATGACACAACATAGATAACCAAAGACTAAGCAACACGAACCCCACAAAAAACTGGGGGTGATCTCAGGTGCTCCGGAAGGGTAAGCAGATCCTGCTCCACTTGTGGCACCCGTCGAGTTGCTTATGTTATTATAAATCCGGTAAATAATCTAATTCGGTAAGTCACATTCGTGAAAAGTGAGGGTATTGTAGTTACGACATAAGGAACATATCCGATACCATCTGTGAAACGGTTATTCCATAACGGTCAACCAACTCGTGATGGCGTCTGTAAAATTTGCGAAGGGATGATTTCAACTTCCCCATTTGGAACTCTTGGTTTAATAGCTTCCTTGTGAGCAGCAATCCTCTATCAAGGAAATCATGATAGGAAACACAAGCCCGGGAATATCGTATCAATTGGGAGATATATACTCCGTATGCAGGCGCTGCTGGAATGTTGCTACATAGAAATGGAAAGTTCACAATTGGGAAGCTGAAATCATCTCTTTTGTCGTAAAGTTTTGTTTTCAACCGACCCTCATTGTCAATTTCTAGATGTAAGTCAAGATATGAGGCAGACTTAACTGTATCTGTAGTATCCTTTATCTCTAGTTCGATGGGATAAATTCGTTTAACATAGTCACCAAATTTTGTATTATTTAGTGAGGGAACATCATCTATATAGCGGAACGTAGAGTTAAAGGATATTGCTAACTTCTTATCTTTCTTCCTAAAAAGTTCCTGTATGAAGTCAGCCTCATAATAATAAAGAAACAAGTCGACAAGAAGAGGGGCACAATTGGTTCTTATTGGAATTCCGACAGTCTGTTGAAAAACACGTCCTCCAAACGTAACAAATATGTTATCAATCAAGAAATCAAGCATCTTGATAATGTCAGTTTCAGAGAATTTGTTGTTTGAATCAGAGTGGTATCACAAATATATGCGATTATCAAGCCTCCTTAAATGTATGTCAAAATATTTTTAATGTAGTTTCTGTTGATAATTGTCACCGGTCTATCCAAACTGTAATTATAATTTGAAAGCTGACCAGTTTATGTATTGATCTGAGTGACCCTGTATACGTTACTTCCGTTGGGTAGAATTAGAGGGTGTAACTAAATCGTTCGTGTGTGTAAATGATGAGCAGACAGTATTTTGTAAATATCTCGATAATTACAAGTAGAAATTTTTCCTGTTTTTTCGTTTTTCAACGATTATTTCGAATTATTCAAACATGTTTTTTGCGTTTTAGCACCTCCTTAATCTAATAACCATTCCTCAATTATATATGAATAAAAAAAGAAATATACTGCAACCTGCATTAATATGATATATCTGTGTTAATGTAACAACTATTACTTTTTGTAGTTTGACACCCAATGTGTAAATATCTCAATACTATGAAGATTTTCGTGGTTTTAAATATAAATAAAAATATGAAATTTCAATTTTGATAGATGCAGTGTTAAGTCAGATCATTTAAACAATATTATATTGTTTTTTTTTTGTTTTTTTTTTGTATATACGGAAATGTTTTATTACCTCCATTAAGCAAAGCCCTCGTCCATTAGCACTCACTGATACACTTCGTACTGTATTTGGAATCTTAATGACACAGAAAAGGCATTATTAGATTCATATTATGACAAACAATTATGTTTTATGTTGTTATGCAACCTAGAGTAAAACACGAAATTATATTTGGTGAAAAGAATTATATGTCGAATACAAAATCGAATATAGAGTAAACGTCAATAAGAGTGTAATTTCAAACAAAAAGAGTAAAATCTAAACACATAATTAGACTCAAAAGAACCTATCAATTAGGTTATCAAAATACAGAACAATACAAATTTCTCCAAACGCTGGGTATGAAACATCAACATATGTTGTTTCTCAACAATAGCCAAGTGTCAACGATTGATAGGTGTTAACAAGTGTTTATATAATATGTATATCACTGAATCGTAATAAGTCTAGAAAAGATGTTAATGAATATGACAGGCACTTACAAAGATCTGTTAGTACCATCAAAATTTCATAATTCTCTCATTTTCTAAATCTATAATGGTGACAGCCCACCTGATATGGATGTGTCAGTCCCCACTTATGACCCTCGTGACTGGTTGTCTGTAGTTGAGTTTCATAAGAATCTTTGTCCGATATTTAGTTATTACTTGACCTTATGGTATTTTTTTCTCACTCAATTATTTAAAAGAGATCGCTAACATCTCATATAATCCAATGAACTAGAAATCTAGGATACTAAAGAGAAACGAAGATCCGGTTTTTTTTCTTAAATAAAAGAACATTATAAAAATGACGGTGATGAAGAACTAAGAACTATTTGTTAACATTAATCGTTAGGGGTTAATCCAAAGGATTTAGTGACATTCAAATTATGTCATAGACAAAGATGTACACTTAATCCAATTAAATGTATTATCAATTTGATCATGTTCAACGGTTTCACATTTTCAATATGATTTTGGAATCGCGTGACAGTCGAGACATCCAAATCAGGATATACTCACCTTGACAACTGTGCTCTTTCCAATTTTGTCTTTTTAAGAAATAGATCTCAAAATACTAACTGAACATTGTTATTCCTTTTTTCTATTTTGTGCTATTACTGTGGTTTTTAATGCAAAACAAATGATCATACTTTTATTTGATACAAAATGTAAATAAGCACTAACTTATATAGCCTGTATATATTTAACGGAAACGAAGGATGATAACCAATATATATGTGCATCAACTTGTAGAACACAAAACGTACAAAATTACCAAAGGCAAACGTTTTTCATCGCACAAAAGCAATAGATGTTTCATCAAAATATAAAAAAAAAAAATGACTAAATTTTTTAATAAATAATAATGACATATGTTTCGGATCATCCTTTCTCTGCCATTTTTGTTATGCATATATTTAACTTACATCTTCTATTTGTAGTACCAATGCATTCCTATTGTTCACGTTGAACGTTTTTCCTTGAGGCCATGTGTCACTAACAGTTTTTACAGTCATTTGAAAATTAGGAACGTAAATCTTTTCTCCTAACCCTGACAGTCCTTGAATTGCTATCACTGTGTCCTGAATAAATCATGTTTATATCTTATTAGTTGATCGAAATATTATGCATTTGGAATGTATAATGTTGCTTTTCCAATGTTGCTTTTTCATTTAGAACAGTTAGAAAGAATTTAGAATATTAGTACTTTTAGAACTAAATGCAATGGAAGAGTTTCAACGCAACAGACGTCATTTGCTAAAGTTATGTTTGATCAATAAAGTTAACATTCATCAACATCGCCTACAGTCAAAGGTTAAACTTTAAAAATAGAGAAATACAAAAGTAATTTAATTTTGAATGTGTAATCAACCTTGCTATCACAAGGTTCAGAGTAAGTTTTATTCTATTAATCAGCTAAGATGTTTTCTATAATGAATAAGAGGCCTCGGTGGCCGAGTGGTGTAAGTAATGGAACTACTGTAACACTAGCCTGTCAACACTGAGGTTGTGACTTGACTCCAATCTTAAATGACTAGGATTGTCAGTTTTCCTTCCGAAGGTCAAAGGATCTTTCCTCCACAATTACAAACTGATTGCTACGAAATAGCACCATTGTGCTGAAAGTGACGTTAAACACAAACCAATCAATCTAGAATGTATGCATTAAACCATGGTCTGTTTTTTTAACATTGAATACTATGCCCAATTCCGAATTATAATTTTATTTATTATAGCATTGAAAGAAATCTAAATGTTCTATAGAAAGGTTATAGTTTCTAACATTAGTGTATGAATGTACATCCACTTCATTTTAACTTTGATGGATAGTTGTCCCATTGCCAATCATACCGCATCTCCTTATTTTTATAAAGTAAAGTCCGTAGTAAGGGTATTATACCTGTGTAGAAATGAACCCTCCTCGTGGATTTCTCTGTCTACCTAACCATTTCATTATTCGAATGCCGTTGTCTGTGTCGTCTTTCAGATTGTATCCTAACAGTATATAAGAGGTCATTTCGACATCTATAGCTCTGACTTTAGTTTGTGGTGGTGTCCAAGATTTCCAAGGTTGTAGTTTGTCTGCTTCCGTTTCAGGTAATGTCCAGTATTTTTCACCGCCTTAAAAGGTTAAAGAATGTTGTTTTTATCAAATGTAATTATATCATACCGTCAACATTAGTTCACGTAATGAGTTGTATTTACAACCCTCAAATAAAAGTTGTTTTCATCCTTTAAAAACTAGTATTATTGGAAGAATTGATTTGAATACAAACAACTATTCATCTTCATATCTAGGTGAAAGAAAAATATAGAAACCTGCACAGATTTGTTCTGAGTCTGCTTTGCACAAAACAAAACTGTTAAATGGCTAATTTAAAAAAAAACGGAATTAAACAGCACTAATTGAAAACCATCAATTAACAAATAGTTGGGCCAAATACGAATTAGCCTTCAACATCGTCAGGTAGGAAAACCATAGAATTCTAATAATTTCATATTCAATAAACAGTTCATTTAAAAATTTGATCGTATCTATGATATTTCAGGTGCGCATTATTAGGCTGGTGATACCCTCGGATCGAATTACAACCGCCAGTTGCATTGACCAAGCAGTTGACAAAGATAATAAAAAATGAAAGGCTTCTAATATGGTACATCAGCAACGGGTTACTCCATACGAAGACTTATCAATGACACTCTAGTCGAAAACGTTGCACGACCAAATCAAATACGATTTAAAGAGCAAAAATCATAAAAAGTTTCCTTATATGTCATTTATGCAAAATAAAAAACAGGAAGAAACGTCCACAAACATATGGCAAACATACTGACCTCTAATTTGAACAAGGAAATGAAAAAAGCCAAATAAATTGGAAACAACAATCAAAATGAAGCTAGCTAAGTTTACTTTGATATCAAGTAACAACCACCAGTGAGAAAAGATGCTGTCATTCCAAAGTGCATATATATAACTTATAAATCAATGTATTTGGTAATGTAATGATAAACACAGGTTGTTGAAATTTTGGTGTTCTGATACATGGAAATCCTTCCATGATAAAGCACCTAATTGTATCTTAAATCTTAAAAAAGAAAGTTTATTTCCAGCAACAGCAAAAAATATTCTAAAATTGCGATAAATACCATTGACTTTTGCCTTTTTCTCAAGTTCAGCCAAAATTGCGCCTGCTAAAGGATGTTTTGCTAACGATAAGGCATAGAATGATATAGCAAGTTCATATAAATTAGCAAATGACGCAGGTGCACCATTTGCTACAAATCCTACTGCATTATCTATAGCTTTAGTTACATTCATCTGTACCTGGAACAAGAAGTAGATATTTATCATTTGTTGGCAATTACTTCTTCGTAATCTCAATTTTAGACAGTATGCATACTGTATTCATAATAGCAAGGTTAAAAATGTAATACATTACTTTGCTCTAAGGTTTATGTATACGATAACCTATATTCACTTGCCTCGAGCATCACTGAAGAGACATTGATTGTCGACATGCGCATCTGGTGCAGAAAAATTGGTATCGTTATGTTATTAGATCGACGTCACTTGTACTCGGTTGTCTCTCTGGCATTCATACCATCTCCCTATTTTGTATTATAAAAGTTATGTTACTTTTTTACTGTGATTTGTTTTCTTTTTGTTTGCTGTTTGACCATTTGGATGGTTGGTTATAACAACAGAAATAAAATTCTAATAATCGGTGAATTCCGAAATTATATCATTTTGTGTCATAACCGATTCAGCATTTGTGAGTAGGTATAATCTTTTGCACGGTATCAAAAATAAAAAACATTTTTTTCGGATAATTAAAAATAAAAAGTCAACCGATCGATGCACGTACTGCAAACCTAGTTTGAACAGGGAGATTACATTGAATTAATTAGCTTTAAGATTACTTACCGCTGTGGACACTTGTTTATTATCTCGTGCTTCAAGAAGTGCAATGAGTACAAATGCAGTCAGACTCCTTTTACTAGACACAGATCCACCCTTAAAAACGGGAAAAAATCAGTATGAACTGTGTATTACAGTTAAATGTAGTGCCATAACTACAATAACATGTAAAATCAATCACAATATAGTATATAATCAGGATTTCTAGAAGGTATGACAAGGCTACATTTTGGCCCCTGAATTTCAAAACAAAGAGGATGGAAGTTATAAAATACAAAAGCTCTATTTCTAGAAATTAAGGAGCTAACTGTATGCAGATAACCGCAAATTTCCTTATCTGTTAAAATGCAAATGTCATGCAAATTCAATCGTACATGTGTATTAGAAAAGTGTTAAAGTTTTTTCTAAAAGCACACGACATGAATATAAATGACTAGCAATGCATTTCAAAAACAAAACAATAAAAGTAAAAACAGCTTTTTTAATATATTAGTTTTTTTGACACAAATAAAATTGAAGTTATGTTCCTGATGAAGATAAATCCAGAAAAGCGTTTCGAACGAATGAAATTTATAAAGTGTTATTTTCATATTTTACAGCACTGCGTCGATACCTCTGCTGGTATGCTATCAATCCCCGAGTGTGTCATCAGCTCAGTAGTCAGAACGTCCGTACTGACATTATTTAAAACAACCCTTTCTAAAAGTATGCATAAATAAATTTTGAAATCATAAGAAAACAAAGGTTTCACCTCCCTAAGGCAAAGTTGACCTTAGATAGATTTTGCTCTTTTTCAGGTCCTTTTTGGTCACTCTCCAACTGTTTTGGTTCTTTATACATTATTGGCTTTTATATATTTGGCTTTGAGATTTCCTGATGAAGATATATCCATAAAAGCGTTTCGGACGCTTGAAATTTATAACGTGTTGTTTTCTTTTTTTTAATGTGGTATTACATTATTTTAACTACATGTGCAGGTAATGCAAAAGAGGTAAATAAGGTAAACTACTCTTTTAGCATGACAATGAAAGATTGGTACTAAAAATTATAAAATAGTTTTTTTTATGGCTATCATAAAGAATTTAATCAACACATGTTATTGTACCTGCATTTCTTTATGAAGAACAATTCCTGGTTCATTAAAGGCACCGGATGTTTCTTGTTGCTTTATAATCCATTGAACAGCCTTTGATATGACGTTGATGTCAATATAGGTAAAACTTACAGCTTGTGAAAATGATTTGATCACAAAAGCAGTCAACCTATGAAATCGAAAGTTTGTTTCTGTTAAAACATTGAAAAATAACAATGTAAATATACGAACTGATGGCCTGATTGCCGACGAAAACACTCTCTACCAGAGACCAAATATTTATTTTTCATACATTCTTTGTTATTTTCTGAGCGTCAACTTTTAATATCATCTGTTTTTTAATGCCACTGGTTTAATCTTTGTTTTGTCTTACAACCTCGTTTATTTCTTAACCACCTCGTTCGTTTCATAGAAGCGTGCTTGCCTGGAATGAGAGAAGTTATTTTTCTAATCCCCGGTCGTGTAAAACCATCGACCTGAAAACTGGTATTTGCTGCTCCCTGCCAGGCACTCAGCATTATGAGTAACAGAAAAAAAACTTGACAGCTCAGAATCTGAACAAAAATACACGCGTTACGTAACATACCCCATTCGTATGTCAAAGTATCGGAAAACAGGATGTATGTTTCTGACATGCGAAAAGCGCACAATCGTGACGACTCAGCACTAGTGAACTGGTGACCAAATATAAAATCATTCTGATAGTAGTTCTGAAACAAAGTGTAAAAAAAAGTATTGTTTTACAAACGGGCGGACGAACAGATCGACGAACGACTGGACGTAAATGGTATTTGATATATACCCCCTATTGTAAAGATTGATATAGACTATTATTTTTGTGAACACAAACGTTAATTATTCCCCTCAGCGTGTCAGGGTTCAAATTTACATCATGTTCATGTACATCATCATCATCATCATCATCATCATCATCATCATCATCATCATCATCATCATCATCATCATCATCATCATCATCATCATCATCATCATCATCATCATCATCATCATCATCATCAGTCATTGTTGTTGCATTTATTATTTTCCTTTATTGGTGTGTGTTTCTGCATTTATACTAGTTCTAGTACTAGTATACGATGGGTTAAAGATTTCATAACATGCAGATAAAAAAAAAACCTTACCAGGTAGTTCCACTTTTATCGTTATTTCCAAAAGCGCTGAAAGATCCATCGTCATGAACATATGAAAGTTCTCTTTGGTAACCTATTTAAGAGAATAATGTTGATAAATTGCATGCAATTTGTTTAAGAGATCTTTAATAAAAAGTGCAACTTGTTTATTTATTATTATTATTTGCTAAATATGAAGAATGCTCTGTAAAGACGCTAGTTATGTTAAAATAAGAAAGTGAGATATGATTGCCAATAAAACAACTCTCTACCGGAGACCAAATAGCGTAGAAGTACAACTATAGGTCATCATATGGCCTTCAGCAATGGGCAAAACCAATACATCATAGGAAGCTATAAAATGGCTCTAAAATGACGAGAAAACGAGAAAACTAAAGGATTGATTATGTCCAAAAGAATAAACGGAAAAAATATAAAGCAAAACACGGCAACCACTAAATTATAGGTTTTGACTTGGGATAGACTCATACAGAAAGTTGCAAGATTAAACATGTGTATGCGTGCACCCAACCCTTCCCTAAGCTAGGACAGTGGTGTTACAGCAACACAAACGAATAAATTCTGTAATCGCGTAAAGTAATATTTTATTTAGCAAACTATGTTTTATACGACACCTCGTAGACACAAGACACTAATGACGGTTGTAGGTCACATGTAAAATAATCCTTAGAATCAACTAGTTCATGAAAAATATACAAAATATAAACGACAAAGTTTCTGGAATTTCAAAATGCCAATTTGTAAAAATAATCATGATTAATATGACAGTTGTACTGCTAAAGTGATCTTTTTTAATGATTACAGCATTTCATATTATCAAAGAAAACCTTCCAATGATAAAAGAATGACAATACCATACTTGTTTTTTGTGTATGTCGTTTTTTTGAAATCACATCGAGACATCAGTTAATATCATCTAAACACATATGTTTAATTTGTAGTAATTCCAAGGGATCAGCTCAATTTTTTAACACCGGTCAAACATTTACGACTATCGCTGTTATATACAAGTCGAAAATCGAACGTAAATTTTGGTTGCTAAAACCCATAGAACATTCAGACAATAGATTGTTGTTGAAACATTCATTCCTGATTTTATCCCGTTCAACTTTTTTTTCCTAAACAATACTTTTAAAACGATGATGATATAGTTAAACTGTACAACGTTAAATGAAAACAAGCATAGGTTAATGTTCTAATTTTTAACCCGAATTCTGCATACGTTTTAGTTGGTTATGAATGAATATACTAGTGGCGGATTCAAAAGATTGGGAGTAGAGGGCGTATATTCTCCCACCCTTTTTGAAAGACAGAAGTATCTTTTTTTTGTATAAGTTGTAAAACAAAAGTGCAGTTATTTTCCCCCCTTTTAGGCAAATAACGCCCTCCTAATCTTGTACGTTGGTCTAATAGCTCTTTATATATATATTAGCATTACCTCCCTCTAAAATGCTTTTAACTCTATTTATTACATCATTCGTAAGTCTGTTTGTTGTTCTCAGGTATGAGCTGACGTAAACATTTGGAGCAAATCTAATCATATTTTGTTCTCCACAACCGTATGAAATCTGAAGAAGATCCTCCAGTCCCGCTAGTGTTGACCCTAATAGGTCACCTGTGAAAAATATGTAACGCTTCTGGTTAATTTTGTTCTTTAAGATTAATGTTACGTTGGTTTACAGATGTTAATACGAGAAATAAACATAATGAAAACATTCAGAAATTGTGGTGTATCAAGTGAATGGCAATGTGTTTGACTTTACAATGGATTAAGGCGTCACTTACAAATGTGCAACATACTTAATGGCATAGGAAGGTGAATTTGTAAGTTAGTCCTTTATCTGTGATAATGCATTTCACTACAAAAGTCCAAAAGCCAGAAAAGACCAATTTTTTTTTGAATTTGCATGAATTTTTACTTTACATTCTCTTTTTGTCTGAATTCTTTCTAATATTTCTTGACAAAGTCTGAATTTGTCTTAAATAACAACCTAGATTCTAGATACTACTCTGGACTATCTGTACCATTACTTGATTTTACTCGACATACATCTTGACAGTATTAACATTGTCTAAACATTTCTCGACAGTCTGAAAAGTGCCCAAATTTGACTCGATATGGCTCGACACATTGTTGAACTGTCTTAAAGATGTCTGAATATATATTGACACAGTCTTAAAGATGTTTTAATATGCTGACACTATCTCGACAGTGTAAATTTTGTCTGAATTGTGTATCGACACATTCCTGACAGTCTAAAACTTTGTTACGCTGTTTTGTATTCATTTATAAAATAAACTTAGAAGAATTAGGATATTATAATACATTGCTAAATTATAAAGAAAAAGCATTTTGGTACAAGAATTGTTTATTTACCAAGTTAACATTGAATAGTATGCACGAAAAATGAAATATGTATACAAAATGATTTATTTCAATCATTTAGAACCTAATTATAATATTAATAAATCAACAAATGTAATTATTTACAAACCCACATTTAAATTCGTTTTTATTATAATACTCACATTTGTATCTGTTAATATTTTCATATTAATATTTGTATTTATAAAAATTTCTACATACCCACTTTTTTTTAATTTTTAAAATATTTACATGCCCAATTTTTTTATTTTGTTGTAATAAGTTTAGCTTGAAATAACAGTATATTCTAAATAGAGAAATTAAGCAAAATATATATCATGTATATTGGTCATGATTTGTAAAGCTCAGAATTGTCAAGTAACTTCAAGACACAATTCAAAATGTTCTGAGTATGTAAAGCCATACTGAGAAAAAAAAAAGAATGTCGAGAACCTGTCGAGAAATTTTATTTAATACAGTATTCAAATGTCAAAAATTTGTCAAGAAATTTTAAGACAGTATTCGGAATGTCGAGAATATGTCGAGTAAATTTTATACAAATTTAATACATTTCAAAATTTGTCAAGAAAAATTAAGACATACGTCATGCTTTTTGAAATGTCTAGTAATTGATCATGCAAATCCTGACAAACATTGGTCTTTTCAGACGTTTGGACTTTTGTTGTGATTGGATGTAATATATTCTAGTAATTTTCAAGTAACACAATATATTTACTATTTTTTTTTCTGACTAATTTTTCTTTAATGGGTTTGTTTTTATCGTTTAACCATGTATTTGGTATGTTGTATAAACAGCAATGGAACAATCTTTTTTTGATTTTGAAAGATTGCCTCATTTAAACGTATTTCAGTTTACCAGTTTTCTTGTTACTTTTTATTGCATAATAGCAAGACTTCTAAAGAATACTCGAAGTTAAATCAATAATTGAAACTCTTTATATATATATATATATATATATATATATATATATAAAGAATACTGTTTTGAAATGAATATTTATACTTTAATATAATTATATTTCATACTCACCAATCACTTGGATTTTGATAAATTCTGAATCTTCAACAAGATTTGGCGGGAAAGACAAAGGAATGGTCTCTCTAAACCTTCCTCCTTGTCGGAGGTCAATAAGTAATGGAACGTTGTAGTTTTGTTTTATACCTTCTGCCTACAATTTGAATTACCTATATGTGATTTAAAGCATCATTTTACATTTACTCAATTTACTGTGGTTGTAACCGATTATGTTTAATTTACTACATGGGAAGCCGTTCTCTATCAGATTTGAAGAAAAGATTATGTTAAATACAAGAACAAGTCACAAAATGTTCATTGACTTGAAATGTATCATCATGTTTGGTTTCAAATTGAGGTTTTATCAAAAATAAGATCTTTATCTGTCATCTCATTATTCATTTCACAGATCAAAAAAATTCTTATAACGTTCCAACATGTTTTCATATCTTAAGACTTAGTTCCAGACGCAAAGAAAAGAAATTCAAGAATTAAATTGAAGGCACACAATTGTTTTTAATTTCAGGCATCCACAGCTTTTTTGTCTTATGTTCAAATAACGTAAAAGCCATTATATGTCCATGCACTACCTAAACTGGTCTTGTGCTGAAAAAAATCAACATACCTTTGATTGAAAACAAGAGCGTACTGGTTCATTGAACATAGGAAGTATCAAAATAGGTACTTCAGTTCTGAGAAGCAGGCATACTATACCCTTCTTTTTTAATTTCAAGCAATTTGTTTACATAATGCAAATTTATTAGTCAAAATATGTTCTACAATGTTAAGCGGCCATTCATCAGCTTTAATTTGAAACCAAAATATCTAAGATATTCTTTATACTTTTAAAATTAATCCTACGCGTAAATGCTATTTTTTTTTTAATATGTAGCACTTTCTGGTATATATATTTTGTGACACGGCCCGAATTAGTGCTGCTACACCTAAAGCAACAAATAGTGGTAAATTTTAATGATCGGTCTGCTTATATAAATATTTAAATTACCTCTATCAGGAAATCACGCTGTACAGCATCGGCACCTATAGTAGATCTTGCGGTTCCGTCCAAAAGTATTTTACCAAGAGCAGTTGGTTTAAGAGGAAAGTACACAGACTCAACACTGTTTCCCATCACAAACACAGACTGCAATCATTTACAAAACGATCATCAATTCTTCTGGATAAAAGGTAGAAACATGTTCGATATACACGTGTCTGAAGGGACATTAAAGATATGAGTGCATATTATTCGTCTATAACTTGTACAGTATTTAGTCAGGGATTTCGTAACCAAATTACTTAAAACGTATACCAAACTTATCATAGATAAACAGATTTGAAATTTTGGCTGTATCTGAGCATTACCAAAAATGGCATTTTACATATTATTTTTAACGGGGATGTTCTTGAGAGAATCAATAACTGCAAAAACTCTTAAATTGGTGATTTTTGTTTGTTGTTTTTATGTGAGTTGTATTATGTTGTTCTTCTGGATGATCTTTCGGGTTAATTCATTAACAATTGATTTTTACAATCTGTTCTTATGTTGCGCTGTAACACCACTGTTAGGGGGACGGTTGGTTGGTCTCTAGTGGATAGTTGTCCCAGTGGCAATCATACCACATCTTCCTCTCTTTATATATTAAATTTAAGGAGTGTATAAGGAACGAACGATAATAAAAAAAACAACTAATAGTTTGAATAAATAAAAATGAACAAACTTAATGAATACAAAGATAAGGAAATATGGTATAATTTCTGATGAGACAACCATCTGCGACAGATAGAATGACAAAGATGTTAACAAATATAGGTCACTTACTGTACACAACAATAACTTAAAATCGATACGATAAACGTGCAGTAAAAAGTAAAATCACAAAAATACTGAACTCCGAGGAAAATTCAAAAAGGAAAGTCCCAAATCAAATGGCAAAATAAAAAATTCAAACACATCAAACGAATGGATAACAACTGTCATATTCCTGACTTGGTACCGGCATTTTCTAATATAGAAAAACACTATAAAAGAACACTCTTGCTTGAGTATTTTGATGTTTTATAAATGATGATAATTGGTATACATATTCATTGATACTATACGCTAATCATAATTAAGGGTTTTCAAACTATTAAATGATTTATGCAACAACTTGGTGCTACAATCATAACACAGTTACCTTTGTCCATCCGTCTGGGCCTGGATTGAAGTCGTTTCCGTTTGCATCAACAAAGGTAAAGTTTACATTGTTAGCAAGCTTCACAGAAACCTGGAGGTAAATTGCATATTAAGTTTACAAGGATATAGAAATAACCTGAAAGTTCATATAGCGTAAGAATCTCCATGTGATGAATTTTTAAAATACGCAAGTATTATCATTTTGCACTTATTTAAACTTGGAAATGGTAGTTGATTTGTATTTAACAACCCCGGGAAATAATGCAACATCATATTTGGGGACGCCTGGATATGACCAGAAAGGTTAACATGTCTGCCTAGTTGCACACTTTCGAGTATATGAATAAAAGAAAAAACGGGTACTTGGAAAAGAAAATGTTACCTAGATCATCACAAATTCAAAATAAAGATATGATCGGAAATGAAATGTGATATATCTGCACTCAAGGTATGACCACCTCTCAATTTATATGTATCTGACAATCGAGAATAGTTCCAAACTTAAATGATGAATAACGTTTGATGACATCTTCTGTCTAGCTAGCTTTTTGTCTTCATGCCTCCTTTTTTCACCCTGGACGACAGCAGCTATATATATATTGATATTTATCTATATGTATAACTTGAATGTTTGATTTATTTACGTCCGTTGTGTCTACTTGACAAAGGTCAAACATTATCATTTGTTTATAAAAAACAGGCCGGTAACAACCGTTGTCGTATAGTTTTTTCTGCAAGAGTAGTCAGGTCAGTGCGGGGATTTTTTAAATGACAATAAAAAAGGACTTTAATCTTTATTTTCTATCATAATAGTCTAACGAAATTGAGAATGGAAACGTTGAATGTGTCTAGAAATAGTCTACTGTATATTTTAATAACAAAAAAAAATAGCCAAAAGTGGGGGATCTTATAGTTTTGCCCCTCATCTTTGAAGGTATAATGCGGGTATGGTCCCCTTTCCCGGCTCCAACGCCCCTGCATTTATATAAACCCTTCCACACCTAGATAAAAGGCATACAAACGTACAAACACAGTCAAAGAAATATGTTTTACCTCCTCAATCCCCCATTTTGAAAGTAGAGGATTGCCCCCTTCCATGGCTTATACCCCCCCTCCAAAAAAAAAAAAAAAAAGAAAAAAAAAGAAAAAAAAAAGAAGAAAATAAACAACAAAGAAAATAAACAACAAAATATGAATAAGAGATTTGAGACATTTAAAAATTCTACGACGTATGCAATATGGAAGAGTAATCAGACAAACTTCATACAACATGCATAAATATTGTCAAAATAAATAAAATAAAGAACAAACTATATAAGTATAAAAAAGACTATTTCTCTGTTTTATGGGGAATAACATTCAATCAATAAAAATTTATTTTGTCTCGTTTATTTTCATGCTCGTTATAGTAATGTGATATTCGAGTAGACCCAAGTATTGATCACGTAACACAATCTATTTTTCATTTACCATGCATATATTTAGACTGATTTGTGCTATCACAATTCGACTAAACAAATGCCTTGATGGGGAAAATCCTCCGTATAGTTCGACTTAGACGATTTAAAAGATATTAGCTTACCTGCTAAGCAGACCCACGAGAGGTTTGTACATGGAAACATTTTATGGTTGATGTCACTCTTGCAGTCAGTAACTTCGTAGACACTTCATTTGATTTAAGCATTTTGGGACATAGTTAGCTTTTTTATAATTAACATTTTTATGAACACTTTTCATATAAATCATATTTATAAAACAAGTTAATTAGGTCATAAGGTGTACGATAAAGTGCCCATGAACTCAGTGAATGCACGCGTGACTCTATTCAATCTAAGGTGTCCGTGTAACTTCATAAAAAGTGTCCAAGTAACACCCGTAATTGTACTGTTTTTCTATAGCTCTGCTGTGGGCCAAGTCGTACAAACAACGTTATCCATACAGATTAAAGTAATGACCAAGTGCATTTATGATATTCAAATATTAGTCGCATCTAAATTATCAGAGAACATTTAAAATCAATGATCAAATATACTTTTACATTAACTTATAAATTTGATATTTAAAAGCAAAGCTAATGAAAATTTACCTGTTGATCTTGGTCTAAGTAATTGAAAACTGTGATTTGGACTATAATAATTTCACCTCGTATGGCAGAAAATGGAAGTTCAAAACGCATGAAAAACCTTTGGAAAGTTGTTAACTGAAATAGAATGTATTATCTTTACTAGTTGTATAAGTGTTATAAGTATTGCTCTTGAATTGATAAAGATAAAAACTACCAACAATTATGTTTGTATTATGTAAAATTATTGTGCTGCTTTAAAAATTTTATATTGACATAACTTAAGATGTTAAATACTGAAAATTGTTTTGAAAACGTTTTTCTTCTACAATTTAAGTAGTCATATTTTTTCCTATACGTAATTTTCTCTTTTACCAAAAATACAAATGTTATGAATTCTGAGTTTGTGCAAAATGTATACAAGATCTTCATGACATCCAGACAATAACAACGATTTATAAACAGACCTTTGTCTTTAAAATCAGAATTCAATTTAATTGTAAACACGTAAAATATATTGATTACATTAGCAGTATTTGCCGCAACACCGAGACCCGACATGGGATTAACAGCAAATGCTGATGCAATCCATTCTGTTATTGTGTCAGGAGCTGTCGTTCTTATTGTTGCGGTTCCATCCGAACTGAAATTAAATTATTATTATTACTTTGATATAATGAAATAGATTCCATATAATAGTGCGATTCTAACAACCATATTTAGTTGTAAACTTAACTACATAGAGACTTTGTTAAATCTTTGTTGTTTTTGTTTTTATAGTATTATGATTAGACCGATTATCAATTTTACTCCCAATTAACAATATAATGTATACTTGAGTGTATATTGTATATCTGTACTCGCTAAGGAGCAGAAGAGCAGCCCGATATGAAACTGTTTTCATCCTGTTTCTTTTGTCTGTACATTTCTCGACAATACATATGTACCATACATATATTCTGCACAAATAAAAGGAGAACTTGAGCTTATGTTCATGTTATTTTCTGATATCCGTCTAACTTGGAGCATTAAGGTTCCAAATAAATCGGAAAAAACACTGAAATTGACCGAAAATCATGTTGTTAATGAACAATGTAGTTCATTTGTGATAATGACTAAATAGGCACGTACATAAATAGAAGGAGGTGTGTTATGATTGCAATGAGACAACTATCCGTCATAGAACAACCCACGTTTATGTAAGCAACTTAAGTCAAACGTTATGCCTTCAACAATTAATAAAATAAAAACCATATAGTCAGCTTTATAAAAAAAAAAATGAGAACAATTCAAACGGGAAAACCAAGTGCCTGATTTATTAAACAAAAACAAATAAAAGAAAAAATAAAATGACAGACAAAAACGAACGAAAACCACTGAATTACAGACCACTGACTTGGGACCGAGGAGCATCACCTTCTAGAAACAGGGAAAAAAAAAACAATATTGAAGTAAGTTTCGTCTTTTAGATGGTGCGAGTTCTTTTCTATCATTATTTATATACTATAAATCCATTTTTTTTTAAAATCCGTCAATGAAGTGTGTGTTATGTCGAATAATTCCAAGTCAGATTTTATAAAATTCTTGTTCAATTCCTAAACACACGGCTTTTAAGAAATTTGCGCTTTTCCTCATTTGCTAGTCAATACTTTTTGCTTGTGAGGTTAAGTCAAAACTTAAGTCAAAACTTGATTTTTTGTAAATATATACATTGTACTAGACTGTACGAGTAATTATTATCAAATCAAGTCACCTTCATAACTTAGACATGATCGAATATGGTAATCGAGTTAATCGTTCCTCTCAAAAAGATTATTAGTAAAACAGCTGTTATTTGTATATACTACTACCCATCTTTGTTTCTGATTTGTGGCCTGCGGTTCAAATGGTTGATTGAAGAAAATATAAAGGTAATCTAATACGTTTTGTCAAAAATGTTACAGAATTGTTTTATTTTCATTTTTACAATTCTATTTTATTCCTTGCATTCATAAGGTCTTTAGTACATGTATTCTGAATTAGTTATTGATCACGAGTGCAAAACTGACAGTCTTTAGATTTTGTGTTTGCTATTATTGTCTTATGATCGTTTTTCGTTTTTCGTTTTTCTGTACGAATATTATGTTATTAAAAATTGCTGTTATAATACTTTTCAAATTAAATTAAATTAAGTATAAATCTCCTTCATGCAAAGCTCTTGATTCCTTGTCCGGCTTTGGCTATACGTTTTGTCCATTATGTTTCCATGAGCTTTTCATTTTTTAAATAAAATTTGAATTTTAACATATTTTGGTCTCGAGCATCAATGAAGAGACATCTTTTGAAGAAATGTGTATCTGGTGCAGTAACATTGGTACCGTTTATTTTATTATGAGTATGAATAACTCTTTGGTTTTTTTCGACTCATTCCTAAGATAATTTTCAGTAACACTTCCTTGTGTGGGTTTTTTTTTTGTGCAATTAACTCTTCCTAAAGTTTTCAATTTTGAGGCTTTAAACACTGCAGTATATAATTTCTGTGCATATCTTATTCTTGATACATTTTGAATGTTTCAATCTGCCTATTAGTTTTCGAGTAAATAAATTATGATATACAGACCAAAAGCAACACATGAAGGAATAGCGTTTAGGTCGGTAGTGTAGACAGACCTATGCATGAATATATTTTAACGCTCTGAAATATAAATATAATTAAGAAATTACCAGTCAATGATGACTTTCCGTTTTGAATTTTCCTTGGAGTTCGGTATTTTTGTTACCTTAATTTTTAATACAAGAATTAAAATTCCTCAACTTAAGGGTAGAAGTCGGTCAGGTCATTAGATGTACATAATATTTTAATCTAATATACAGAAAAACTCTAGTTATTTTGTTTGAAATAAATGGGAAGACTAGGTTCTAAGTATTCTTTTAAATGATTCTCTAGTAGTCTTATAAACTAAATAAGGAAACTATAACTGTTACTAAAATTTGAGGCAAAATTAAATAGCGACCGCCAAAAAATGATATACTGATTGATATTTTAGTCTTAGATGCATTATCAGTTTTTATTGGCTTTCAACTAGCTTTCAGTAACTATGAGTAGGATCAGATCTGCACTTTTCGCAGTGTTAATTGTTTTGTGCTTGTATTGATCTGACGAGTTACGACCTTTTTCAACTGATTTTTTTTTTATAGTTAATTACTTTGTTGCACTATAACATAACTTTCCAAGTAAGAGTAAGGGCCTGTAAATATGTAGAATCCCACCACTTTTTGTGTGTGCCTGTACCAAGTCAGCAACCTGTAGTTCATCGTTTGTCGTGCTTTGCTGTGTGTCAAATTTGTTTTTCGTTTATTGTTTTGTACATAAATCAGGCCGTTAGTTTTCTCGTTTCAATTGATTTACATTCGTCAATTCGGAGCCTGATGTAGTTTGATATGTGGTATAGGTTTTACCCATCATATAAATTAAAATGCACGGGGCTTTGTTCATCTGGCATTCGATTTATCAATTTTCTGTAATTGTCCTAAACTGCATCCACAACTCACATGAAGTTCTTCTTCCAGTTGATTTGCTGGATGTAAACATATACTTTAATACCTCGATCATACCATGTCTAAATCACATATAGGTAATGGCTTGTTTATAGTATTTTATCTGTATTAAACGTATTGGTTTAGAAGGTAGCTGATCACCACAATATTTACATTGTAGCTCTTGCACTCTACAATACGTTATTCATAGTACTTAAAACTTGAATCTGTTTAGTATTCATAGCTATATATTCCTATGAATACTAAACAGATTCAAATTTTAAGTACTCAAACATATCCCCCTTGTTGTTAACTCGATCATTAGAATATCAAAAACATTCAATGCAAATCAGAAATGAACTTGCATGTTTGATACTGAAATGGTTGACATTAAACAACAGCTAAGGATACAACAATATCATTTACAATAAAAACACCAAATGATAAACGCAGTTGCTTAAACCAAGCTGAAAGAACATTGCACAGTTATATAGAAACAAAGCCATCGTACTCCATCATATCGCCAACTGAGATGCGATAAGGTTTCACACAGCAACTTCAGGGTGTACATTGCAGAAGGTTACGATTGTATGCATTGCCAAAATATTTTTTAGTAAAATGAATTCTTTATTTGCGCATGAATATAATAGATATACACATTTTATGCATAATGTTTCAATTATTATACCGAATAATATAATACATAAAATATAGGCAAAAGGTATTCAACGGTACAATAGAAAACCATAAATTAATTGATAATCTAAAATGTACTTGTACAGAATTACAGTACACAACGAAATGAAAATATATTTTAAATTATAAATAGTCATGCAAATTCAAAGTAATCACAAAAATACCTCGATGTAAAACATCACTATTATAAAAATTACAATACAAAAGATCTAAGTAAATATAAAATCGGGTTAACAAAAAAGATTCTGAAAATTAAAATTCGAGACGTTTCATAATAGAAAGTGATTTATGAATAGGATATTTTTATTTCAATTTCATCATCATTTATTGTAAGTTGATTCTAATATTCAAACCTTACGTTTTATATTGTTAATTTAGATGTAACAGCCTGCGAGTCTTTTCACAAAAAATCTTACGATTAAAATTGATCGTAAGTTATACTGAAATGTGTATGACTTACGAGTAGTTTTACTCTTAAGATTTTTTTGTGAAAAGAGCCGCTGATTCATAGATGAGAAAACAAGAATATGTGGTACAATTGCCACTTGGAAGACTATCCAACAGAAACCAAATGACGTAGATGAAAGCAAATTTAGGTCGCCATACGGCCTTCAACGATGAGCAAACCCATATGTAAAATATAGTTCAAGACATAACTCATCAAATATACCAGGTTTATATTTTGTAGGCTACTCGCCAGGCACGCGTTTCGTCTACAAAAGACTAATCAGTGACACTAGAATCAAACAAAGTTTCATGGGTAAAAAAGTTGGAAGTTGAGGGAGCATTGAGGACCAAAGATTCCATTAAGTTTTGTAAACTTCAGATAAGGTAATATTTGCTTCTCTTCAAAATAAAAAATATATTAAAAGGTTGAAAGCGCTTGATCTGTAAAGTTTCTCCAATTTGTTATAAATGCGCTATTCCCTGTAATACGATTTTTGTTGTGAAAAACTGTATATAAGATTTTTTGTTGTAAAAAAGTTGAACTACAAAATCAAAAAGAAGAAAACAACACTTTTTTTAAATTTCATGCGTATAGTATAGAAACTAAATTATGCATGTTTGCTGATGACACTCAACTTTTGTATACGAATGAGAAATCAGTAGAAAATTCCTTTGATGTCCTAACACTATATGAAAAAGCTTCGGGATCTAAAATTAATTTCGATTAAACAAAAGGTTTACTTATAAGATCTCTTAAAAGGAAAAAACTATAATTTAATAAGATTAAATGGATTACAGGTAATGTAAAAACCCTGGGAGTAATATATATAGATATGAAATTGATAATGATGCTATATGGCAAAGCATTATAGATAAGATTTACAACTGTGTCCACGTGTGGAGAAGCATGAAACTTTCGTTAAGTTGTAAAACTTTTATGAAATTGAAATACGGGGAATTCTTCAAAAGAAATAAAAAATATTATTTGGAATTTTACATGGGATGGGAAATTTTACCAAATAGAAAGACAGGTTTGTTGTCTTGATATAACAAAGGATGGAATGGGAATGATAAGTATCGATCTTTTCATTAGAAGTAAACAAATAAAGTCTCTTTATCGCATTCTCCATGAACCGTTAGAAAACTGGAATGCTATTGGCAAGTATTGGCTTCGACAATTTAATAGCAAGTATAATGATTAATATTTTTTATGTTAGTGCTTAAACGTTAAAGGAACTAAATCTTAAAAATATTCCTTTATTTTATCAGAAAATTATCTATACATGGTCTTATTTTCTAAAGACTGGAGATAATCCAAAAAACAAAGACCGAGGTACTTAATACGAGGCTATTTGGTAATTCAAAACTTTCATTCCACAATTAGCCATTGTATTTTTCTTCCTTTCTTAAAGGTTACATGAAATATATCAAAGATATATGGAATGAAGAACCCAACGAATTTTACAGTTGTAGTTTTATATTTGAAAAACTTGTGGATAAAAGAAACTGTGTATCCGAATTTTCACGAGTTAAAAGTTCGATACCTATCGATTTCATACAAATTTTAGAAACTGGAAGTAATATTAATGAAAAAACAAATACAGAATTGAAACTTTCTGATGAAATGTTCATATTAGATAGAAATGACAAAAAAATCAAACCTAAAGAATTGAAACTCAATATATTCGAGACATGATTAATAAAGATATTTTCCAAAATGTCAAAACAAATGGCAAGAAATTTTTGGGCACGAATTTAATTGGAAAATAGTATGGGACAATCTGAAAAAAAAACTAATATCGGCAATAAAATAAAAGAATTCCAATGGAAATGCATTCACAATATTATATATACGAAAGTAGGCTTAAACAAATGAGATTGTCAAACGGAAAATGTCATATAATGTTGTATTATTAATTATTACATTCTATAAAGATGTTCTTTTTCATTTATTGTCATATAAAAGAATATTTATTATTATATACTATTTTTTCTGGTAATAAAGTGCTCTCTTTTTAGGCTCCTGCTTCCTGGGCAGTTGGTTTAATTGTAAACGGGGATCCTTAGTCTGCATCCTGGGCAACTGAGGAAATTGTAAACAGGAAATTTTTGGAACAAACAATTGTCTATTTTAAAAAAAAAATCATGCGTCCGTCGACTCGCTTTCCTCTAAGATTTACCTTAATTAGGAAAGCTCAAAATCTAGAATTAAAAATGAAGAATATATAAGAACAAGAACATTTAATTACCAATAGACCAAAAAAGGAGCTCGCATACCTTTTGTGTGATTGACAAACATGAAATGGTTGATAACTTCAATGGATGATTCAGGGGTTGCAAACGCATGTACTTGGTTTTGAAATGTCTCTGGATTAAGAAGCTAAGGCTTTTGAAATTTAAATATGATCATAAAATACAAAATACAGAAGAGGTAGATATATATGAACGCCGAATTTAAATGTTCAACGAAGTGCACATTTTCCATACGCTTGTATGCAGATTTTGGGAAAACCACGAGATCAAATATCCACGAAAATGCAATATTCCATCAATTCACGAAAATTGGTACCCACGAAAAATAAATGAATCCACAGTTTTGCTAATAAAGAAATTATTGAATATATATTTAAATATAAAAATAAGGAGTTATGATATATTTGGCAATGATACAAGCATCCACCAAACGAATAGGATGTTCACAAATACAAGTCATAATAAGGCAATTAAGTATATTATATAGACTCTTTAATATTCAAATTCTAGTAGGTTTGTACAACCGGTTTTGACTCTTTGAGTGAAATAAAGGACAAATAGGTCCTACCTATTTAACAGAGACTGTTTCATAAATAAGTTTTCCCTGAATGACATAACCCCTTGGGAGAAATAAAAACAACCACCACTGACGATCTTTCTAACTTGAGAAAGGTATGCGATTATGTGGCAAGGTAAAACCTTGCTTTATATATCTCATCACTCCATATTGTTCATATCAAACAGTGAAGAAGCACACATGTTGATGTTCAAGAAATACTCAAATTAGTGCAAGTACAAATTAGTTTACCATCTCAAAGAATGCTCAGAATCTCTTGAATTAACTCAAAATGTATAATCTGCTCACATGAAATCTGGTCATCCTAATAATAGTTCTATTATACATAAAAAAGTGAGTCGAAAGATACGAAAGAGACTTTTAAACTTAAAAGTCTAAAATAAACTGACAACACCATGGCAAAAAAAAAGACCAAAAGACAAACAAATATTTACAAAACTAAACATCGAAAACTAATGACTGAAAACACGAGCCCACCATAAAACGTGGGTTTATCACTTTTCATATTTACAAAATCATCAGAGGTTAGGCATCAGAAGGTTTAAATAATATATTTCCGTTGCTCACCTTGTTGTTTTATTGACCCATATCCATATTTCCGGAAATTTCTTTTGAGTTCTCCCAACAGATGCCAATTGAGCAGATGCTGCTACTTTCTGAACAGATAATGTTCAACGTGCCCATTCAGTTGAAACAAGTTACCCCAGTATTTCCAAAATATATCAATCGATAAAAAACAGTTGGTGAATAACATGAAAAGTGGAAGGAACGATCTTTTAATACATTATGAATGCCGATCCAGATATAACAAAATATCATTTCCAACATTCAACCTCTGCTAAGTAAAGAATATAGTCAAGCACTTTCACCTTATTGTTCTATTAACCCATAGCCATGTCTCGGGAAATGCTTTTCTTGTTACTGGAGAAGAAAAGCCACCTGAACTGCTTGCTTGAGCTTCAAAGTCGAGATTATTATCAAACGTAAACCTTGAAAGTTTTTAAATTATCACGACAATATTACAGAAATTAATTAGTGTTAATGGTTAATTCTCACCCTGTAGTGCTGTTTACCCATAACCATGTTTCTGGAAAGTTCTTCCGTGTTCGTGTTGGAACTGCAAGACTGCCGCCTCCAGCGGCTCCTAGTCGTCCTGCTTGTCCAGGTGGTCCTAGACGTCCGTTAGAAAAAAAATCACCGGCTGAAATTAAATCAATTCTCATCTTTATCAGTATTTATCCATTGTTTTGTTTTAAAAAGGTTCTCCTGGTTTGAACGATTTTGCGTTTCAATAATTATAATTGCAAATACGTTTCTTCTCCATTGCCTAGTTCAGCCAAACATAAAAAAATTAACAGGAAGACCATCACCAGTATAAATTATACACTTATAAAACTACATGTATATCCAACTTCACGCTGGCAAATGAAATGAAAAGACATGCTACACTAGATCACCAACAAAGCTTTTAATGAGAGAACTAAAACAAAGCTATATAACCCCAAATGTTAATGTAGATTGTATAATGTCAAATGGATTGTAGGAAACATTATTTCGATAATACAAGTAATTAAAGTCATATGAAACTTCAAAATTAAACAGAAAGTTGAACATGTTTTATATACTTTGATGGCTAAGTTTTACTCTAAAAGAAGTGAACGTGAACTTTTTTTTCAAAGAAAATCCTTTATACTATCAAAATCTTCATTAATGTACCGATATTGAATTTTTGACTTCCCAAACACTAATTCGCCGATATTTTCCCGTATGCAGTGACCTTAACTACGTGACCTCTTGTTATAACCTCGGCCACCACACAGCGCAAGTGCGAGGAGAAAACCGAAAAATTCAATACAACAAATCATTTAACAATTCAATGAATAGTTTAATTAACAAATGGGAACGCATGGAAAATATAAAAAAACAAATATCATGGCTCTTTCAATTCACTTATCTGCCATGCTTTCCGTGTGCTCTGTTCTTATTGTTTATCAATGTCACGATCCGGTAAACTTCGGCAACACACTTAAAAGTTAATTAGCATGTGATTAACAACCACTCAAGGAAATATCATTATTTGTGGATAATACGTTATAGATGTGTAATTAATATAAAAAACGTGCATGCAAGACATAGTTTAGTATATATGCATGCATTGGTTCAATAATTTCAATTACATAAAAATTTCAAGAAACTCGTTTCATATGACTTTAATCTTCGTACATAAATTAAACACAATGTTAATAAACGTTAATACGCTAAAATCGTATAATTTTTAAACGATTAAAATTAATTCTTTCAAAACTTAATTGCATATATTGCAATTTTACCAGATTGCTTCTTCGCCTCCTCATTTTAAAGTTTATGTTGGGATTAGGGTTTCTTTGCAACCAACAGGGAAGCCATTGAAGAGATAACGCTGTTATGAAAGCTCACAAATTGTATATTTTATTTAAATAGCATCAATATACATTTCTTGCTAGCAAATTGTGTTCTGAACGGCAAAATTATTTCTTCTAACGAGTGGTCTTCATGTATTATATTTTCCGTTAATACTACTAACAATTATTGTTTTAATGGTTGTCAGTGGGACAACACAAGAAACGCTGTGTAATTTTGTGAAATAACAAACAAAACATATTTACAAGATGAAAACTGATAGCCAAAGCCAACATTGAAAAAAATATGTTTAACTTGATATAGCTTTAATATCGCGGTGTATTTGAAAGTATAAAAGTTTACAAGAAAAGGATCAAGAAGGCTTATATTAATTATAGTAACACCTGGTTATTTTATAATTTAAACACTCTGTAATGACTCAAACTGACACTGGTTTAAATTTACGGTCACCATCTCGTTATTGTTTATTTTGTTTATAAATTATTTACCATTAGAAAATATTGAAAATCAAATTGACATGTTTGCTGATGACACAATATCACAATGTGCTGGTAATACTATTTGTTCTATCGAAAATAATTTAAATAATGATCTCTATATAGTAAATATTTGGTGTAATAAGAACAACATGTTAATACACCCAGAAAAAAAGTATGCTAATAGCTAAATAGGTACTCCCCAGAGGAAAAATATATATTGGACATTCAAATAAATGTTAGAATAGATGATAAAATTATTCAAACGGTGAATACACAAAAGTTATGAGGAATTAAAATAGATCATCATCTTACTTAGAAAGAGCAAAATATTAAATTTCTAAACTCAAAAGGTCAAGGCTGTTAATTATCGCAAATTTCAACAATTACTTACACCACAAAAGGAAAATTTCATTATATAATTCTAATATTATACCAATGTTTGACTACTGTTGCACAGTATGGGGTAATTGCAACGAAGAATGCCTCCAGAGATTAATAAAACTCCAAAAAAGACCAACAAGAATAATTCAAATGCCCCTTTCCTATCAAGCCAAACAATGATAGATTATTAACTCACATAAACACTATGAATGCTATCAATCTTGTGTTTATAAACTGCATGTTTTTTGTATTGTTTATTTGTATGTACGATATTATTTTGTACTTACTTTATGAGGGCCCCAAGTAAGATTAGTGAAAGCTAATTTGGGTTACCTTCGTTGAATAAAGATTATTGTCATATACTTAAAGCAAATAATTTATAATTTTTACAGTCTAACTATATCATTAAATTTACGTAAACTCCATATTTTCCGTTATGGTGCTTATCGGGCTGATATAAAAACTTTATCAACTGCTTTCTGTCGTTATCACATATTTGTTACGAAAACATTAGGTTTTGCATCTGTTATAACCGCAAAGTTGTCCGTCTCATATTGCTGTTCGGGGCAAAAAAGTGGTTATTGGTTATTGTGGCCCGATTCCAAATGACGTATCGTCATTGCGTCCGTACCGACAATGGCGAACAATGACGGTGTTTGTATTGAAAATTATGAGAATTTTGCTATCATGGCCACTAGTAACAATGTCCAACCTACTATTATCGATATAGCCCCAGTAATACGAAATTCTCGCTTTTGTGTATTACCATGATATTAAAAATAAGGGAAATGTTAAAATAAATTTGCATGCAGTAAATGATAAAAATGAATGGAAAATGTGATAAATCGTTTTAGATTTTACATGTGGTGGTTTTTGAAATAGTTGTAATTGGACGTTTTTCTCTTTTCTGCAGAACTTGAATGCAGAACTTGAATATGTGATAAATAGATTATAACATGTCTTTTCCATGATAGCCTTGTTATCATACCTCGACCCATATCGGCCCTCAGCTAAAACATCGGGCTGATATGGAAGTCTCGGGATGATACTAGGGCCAATATGGAAAAGGGCCTGTTATAATCTAAAATTATCGCATTCCTTTCCGTAACGTTATATATCGCATGGCGATTCGACGTCATCCGGCAAATTCCGGAGAATACACCTCAATAGTACTTTTCAGTGAAAATGCAACAAAGTAGGATAGAAAAAAAAAACAAATATTAGGAAACAGGAAAATATATTTTGAGTAATGCAAAACAAACAATCCAATAAAACTCCATATATTTGATTACTAGAATATCCCCAGAATGTTTTTAACACTATGCATATTCTTTTTTTCAAACAAGAACATTGGTATCGTATAATCGTAAAATAAAAAAGCAAAATGAGGTTGTAAAATTTTATGTATGCCTTTTTGTGCTTCTTTGTTACATTTGTTTGTTTTTATAGTGATTAAGATTATAACACAATGTTGACTGACATTTTTACCTACTGTGTCTGTTCGTTTTGTTCACGCATCGTTGTCAATATAATGGAATTTGATGCGACTGTCATACAAGTGAGAGGTTTAGCTAGCTATAAAACCAGGTTCAATCCCACATTTTCTACATAAGAAAATGCCTGTACCAAGTCAGGAATAGGACAATTGTTATCCAATCGTTTGATGTGTTTGAGCTTTTGATTTTGCCATTTAATTAGGGACTTTCCTTTTTGAATTTTCCTCGGAGTTCAGTATTTTTGTGATTTTACTTTTTGGTAGTTAACATATCTCGAAAACTGTTATCGTTGCATAGTGCATCAGTATACGTTCCTCGCTTAAAAGTTATTTATGAACGACAAACTGATCTAATCAAAACACGGCGTTTACAAGAGTAAGCGTTCTTGACATTGTCCGATATTAGACAGCATACGTTTAATATTCAAAATTGGAAATAGATACTCGTGTTGTTCTTTGCAAGTATCAGATAATCGATAGCGTCTGAATATTAAAAAGCCCATTAGTGACCTAATATGACTGACACTCTTAAGTTTAACAGTTTCGTTAAATTAAATCTGTACCTGACCAAAGAAACAATCGAACTATTTCATTTTGATATCTGTTCATTCTATTATAAAGACTTCCATTTGTCACTGGATTTCCGCCTGATTAGACACCTTCGTATAAGAAAGACGGACGGGTTAAAATATCTCATCTAGTCATCTAGTTAATCATTTCATTCCTGTAGCCAAATGGGATATGTCTGCGCTTTGCAGATAAAGAAGACAAAATAACCTTAAAATAAAAAACTTATTTGAAGAATGATACTCTTTAAAGTGGATTCCTATGGTTTCCCGATTCGAAACATAATATGCACCACGACGGATGTCACCAGAGGAGGACGAAATTTTTCCGATAACTCTGAGCGCAGTGTTGGCCTCGGGTTCCTCATTCGAGTACTGTATTGTTTGGCAACTATTTATAAAACAAGAACAATCAAAAGAAAGATAAAAGTTAAATCATCTATGTTAATCTCTGTTGATATTTTTAAATGACTTCAATTGTTAGGTTACAGTTGCATTAGGCAACCAACTCTGAGTATTAAACACCATTACATCCTACAGTTTATTGTTTCGGCTGTCATATTGAAATGTTTCCCTAGCTTTTAAAGTATAAAATACTTACGTCCTGGTGGGGGAATGTACTGATAAAGCAGCGCATCTGTCAACACATAAACACCAGCTCCCTGTCAACAAAATATACCAGTTTGTAGTGACAAACAATTCAGAAAACAATTCGACAGTTCAAAATTATTCCTGAAAAAAACCTGTCAATTTTAATAAAGCATTTTTGATGTATAGATTTTATTACCTCTTGATAACGGGACGACTTTTGATTAATTCAATTCATTCAAAGTCATATATTCATATATTTCCTAAGTGTATAATCATTATAAATGTAATATGTTGGTTTGTTTATAAAAAATAATTTATAAACATGGAAAAATAACAGAAATAACAGAACTTAAACATATATCAAAGATTTTATTTATTTTTACTATGCAATCCTTATTACTCTTTCTATGAATCCTATTTATCTAAAACACATCTGATAGGTAAATTTAAATTTGGTCGTTTTTCGTTTTTTGCAATGGCCTTGTCGCACTGTTATTGACTAATTATATTTTAATATCCCTTTGGTATCTTCCGCCTCTCTTTTATATTCCCGCTTTTTATTTTGTATATTAAATACTGGAAATTGTTCAGAACTATAGCTTAAACCGAGTTTTAAATAATCTGTGATCTTGTACTTACATTGAAAATCGAGAATGCATCCCTGCCGTAAACAGGTCTTGGCAACCAAAAATCCCAACTACTTCTTGAAAAGAATCCCGAGTTATTATATCTTTGAAGTTCATTCAATACCTTTAAATATGTAATACAGTTTAATGTTTAAATACAATAAAATAAAAAATATAAAGCAACACAGTATTAAATAAAAACAATTCTATAGTGTTATATTTATAGTTTCAATCGTATAACTGTTATAAGGGTGAGAGCTTTAGATCATATAAACAGAGCAAACCTACGAAAGACCGTTCTTTCCTCATTTCAAACTTGGCATTGCTCACTTCCATGTTGACATTTTTCAGTGCCAACTTGGAAGTAGAAAGTATAAAATTGGAGTGTGAAATGTTGAGATGGAGGGAAAAAATGTCAAAATAAAACGGAGAAATTCTAACTTTCAACTGATAAAGTCAACTTGAATTTTTGCGTTAAATCTTTCAGTACGATTACCTATAGTTGCTAGCTTCTACGTCATTTGGTCTCTAGTGGGGAGTTGTCTCTTGGCTATCATACCACATCTTCTTATTTTTATATAAAAATATAATGTCCCAACAAGTCTTTAATTTTTGTTCATATATATGTTTCGTGGTTTAATGTGGCGTCCATTTTCGTTGAACTAGTACATATTATTGTTAAGGGGCCAACTGAAGCCCGCTTCTGGGTACGAGATTTTCTCGCTGTGTTGATGACCCATTGTTGGCCTTGGACTGTTTTTGCACTTTCCTCGGGTTGTTGTCTCTTTGACACATTTTCTGTTTTGATTCTCAATTTTATTTCGTAGAAACATTAGCCGTAAAGGAATCTAATTAATGCATCGTGTTTTATTAGAAGCATCAAATTACAAATCTATTAAAGGAGTTAAAATATTGCTCTGTTTTGATATTTTATACGTTACATTTAATCATATCGTTAAGTAGCTAAATTACTGAAGCACTTTTTTTTATTGATAAAAAGAGTAAAGATTTTTTTTAATGAGACACATATTTTATGCTCCTGAATTCTTACAGTCGATCAACATTTACAGATAAAACACAAATCAAATGCAAACATGATTAAAATTGAAACGAAAGAAAAAAATCAAGTTGGCATACCTGGTTCTATTTGGTCTTATACGTGCCTATCAACGTCAGACTGAAAATCTTTATAATAAAAGGTTGTCTACCTTTTTGTACCTAAGAGAGAGAGAGAGAGAGAGAGAGAGAGAGAGAGAGAGAGAGAGAGAGAGAACTTACATTTTGTGTAGTTATATCATTTCCTGATTTCAGTAATAGGACACTCTTATCAACAGCAAGAACATTGACTAATGAGTTTGGATCCGCCGTCAATTCAACTTGAACTTCATCACCTGGCTTAGCTCGTTTTGTGTTGAAGTTAATAGACACCTACAGGGTAGTCAAATATCAATCTATGTAATTTAGCATGATAGAAGATATCACTTTTTTAAATTATTAAATATGTATCCCATTTATACTTAACAAACATACTGACAATATGAACGCAATAAATAAAGTCACATATATCCTTCAAGTAAGTAAAGTGAGATGAGAAAGATGTTCTCCATCAACATTAATCTATTTATGCTTGCAACACAAAAAGATGGGTAACGGGGCGTATTTTTTCTTCTTTTAATTCTGATTTCCTAAATGTTAGCAACTTTTTTATTACTTATTTTTTTTTTTTTTTCATTTCTAAATCACTTGTCTGCAGAAGTAGAGATATCATAAATTGTTCATAGGTTTGCGGATGCTGTACGAAATCTTCTATCAAATTTACGTGTGTAAGACGGCATGTTAAAATTTCATATCAGCAGTTACCAATAACATCGTGTGATACGGTATTGTATTATCTATAACTAGTATTGTAAGTTGACTATTGTGACTTTTGCTACTTAACATCGATATAACTAATAACTAATGAAAATAGAGCAATTCGATACCACATTATAAGATATATATAATAACTAATAGAAATAGTGCAATTTGTATCACATAATAAGATAGGACAAACAAATTTAAATTGAAATAGAGCAATTTCGTACCACATTATAAGATATAACTAATAACTAATAGTTAAAGAGCAATTCCGTACCACATTATAAGATAGGACAAAGAAATTAACATGGAAAAAGAGCAATTATTTACTTCATTGTTATCATTTTTGAAAGCACTGTGTGCAATAAATGATTACTTACCGACTACAACAAATACTTACTTTATTATTGAATATGTCCTCAATAGGAAATGAAATGGCATCAGCTACAACTTCACCGTTTTGTCGTCTAACATAGTAAATCAGTAACTTTGCTTGAGGAATCATTGCGTATGTGATTTTTAGATTCTGGTCTTGCTGCTTTCTATTTCTCATCCTAAATTGCCCTTGAGTTACAAGTGATCCTTTTGAAAAAACCTATGAGCGATATGGGGATTTTTTTAATTTGAATAAACAATTTTGATATACAAAATCACGAAGAATAAACGAATATACATTTCGTGTGATCTCCTTTTTTTTTCTATCATGTTGAATAGCATATCTGATAAACAATATGTGTGATAAAAACACGCACACACAAACGAAAGTTGAGTATTGGTGTCATTGCAATGCCTACTGGTAACCTGGAGAATGTTCTAACAATAGCCCCGAACGTGCAATTTATTTTAGGGCGTGCACGAATGTTTTTGTATGTCTTCTACGAAAAATTATTATATTTCATAGTTCCATTTTCTTAGAAAATTCCCTGGTGTTGAATTGTAACCTCTTAATATTCAAATTTAAATAGTCATAACGACATAAGGTTCCTTTTGTTGATTTAGGTAAATTGCCAACCCCTTGTTGTAATCATTTGGAAAGCCACTTCTATGTACTAGATTTGCTGATTTTACGGAAGTGTAGAAATTACAATATGCGTATGATTATTTTATAGCATTCAATTCAGGACTTTATCAGTATTTCGTTTTGTTCGACATCAAATTATATATGTTTTAACACTCTTGTAGTGTTCCTAATTGAAGGATAAAAAAGAATATACCCTTTATAGAACAGCAAAAACATAATTTTGAATTGACCGAATTTAATTAGTTGACGCATGCCTATCACTGCATTTTATGAATATTTGTGATAATTAATGTTAAGCGTTCGTAAAGTGACAAGAACAATAACATACTTTGTAATTGCAGAAGCGGATCATTTCTGTAACTTTTATAACCAATGCTAATTTCTGACCAGGCTAAACAGAAATAAAAATAAATATGTTTTACACAAATAAATCGATGTGATTGATTCAGACAGAGCATTTTTTTTTTCCATTGCCTATTTTGCAATGATCTGTTTAAAGAAAAGTTATAATTCACATACGATATAGATGGTCATTGTGCTACATTTTAGGTTAATACTCTATGCCATACATATCCTTGAAATATTCAGATCCTCTAACTTTGAAGAAATGGTGAGGAGTTTTGTCTGATAATTAGGTTTTCTACAATATCAAAATAAACAGCGAAAGTAATTTCCTAAAGTGTATTTTGGAATGCAAGTAATTGAATACATCTTCCGTGCTCGTATGTATTTATTTCTTCCTATTATTTATGTATTTGGTACTCTAATGTATTAAGTTTTGTATCCTATGACAATTTTGAACCCTGATATGATGTCTCAGTTTTATACACGCAAAAGAATATTTCTTTTTTTTGATAACGTGAATAAAAAACCGTTATAGTAAGTGTATATTGAATATATAAAAAAATTGTTCTGAATTGTGTTTTAAGGTTCATTTGGATATTCAGGACTGATTTGGCTTTTAATAATGACTGCTCCTTTTGAACTGTACCTTAGCTTTTTGGTTATGTTTAACTTCAACTTGTATGTAGTTTCTGCTTGGGGATTCTGCTTGCGACAAAAATCTGGATGCTCTCGATTTGCGATAAAAAGCCTGTAGTTAAAAACGAATAGTCGTACATGTATATTAGTTCATGAACATCAAATATTCCAATTTAAATTATGAAAAAACAAAACTTTGTACTTAAGGTCAGTGATTTTTAATGACCAAAAGACAGTATTCAGAGCAAAGATTTGAAAATATTTATTTTAATTTTCTTGTATTTTACTGGTAAATGGACTGAGTTTGTTTTTACAGTAAACAAGTAGATACAGTCTAGAGTTATAATGTTTTCACATCAATTAATTTGTCATTTGTCAACTTTCATAGAAATTTAAGAAATTTCGTAGGAGCTTGTTTATGATAAAGAGATACTGTCTGGAAGTAAAATTTTGAAAATATGTTTTTCTTGATTTTCCGTATTTTATTGATAAATAGACTTAGTTTTTTCACAGTTTCAATTTTTTGAAAATTTCATATTGATTTCAGTTTTAGTATTTTACTTCTTGGACCGAAGCTAATCTTCAAAATCAATAGATAGCATCAACGTTTTAGTTCTGATACATGGACTGACTTTTTAAGTTAACATTACACTTTCACACTGATAGCAGTAATAGCAGGTGAGACACAGGTATCCGCTGAACCCTTTACGAATTTTACTATAAACATACTAAGTATATTGGTTATTTATTAATCAAATGATATTTGCGTTGATTTATATATTTCATTAAATACCTCTATTCTACCAGACTGTGCCGCTTTAGGGAATCTAGCTGAAAGTACAATTAGTCCTGATTCAGGGATTTGTTCCAAACGTGTCCACAATACGTTTGTGTCTGCGTTGATTGATTGTGGAAATAGGAGCGGCATAATTTGATTACTACCAGGTGAAGACAGCCCAATTTGTGGTTTCCTTTCACCAGGCACTGTATACGTTACCGTGATGTTTACAAAGCCCAATGGTGGGTTTAATGGACTGTCATCTCGCTGTGTAGCTCTTAACTAAAATGTATCATTGACAGACAAAAATGAAAATACGAATCCTAAAACATTTAAAGGTAAAATGCCTATACTTTATTATGAAAACATCCTGACTTGAAAGTGACCAATCCTTCAAACAACAATGACAAGTAAGGATATGTGGAATGATTGTCAATATACAACTGTCCACCAGTGACCAAATTGTGTGGATGTAAGTATGTATAGACCAGTTACAAGTCAATTTATATTATCAAATATTACTTATTGAGTTTATAATGTTTTCAAAGTGTATTCCTTGTATCATCAAGCCTCCATGGTAATCCTTTAAGAACACTGCCAACTTTTAAATGAGAATACTACTGAACAAAGGTATATTGGTATCAAAAAAGTTTCAAAAAGCTGAAACATATTTACATAACTAATTCTTTTTCATGCCGTCAATATTTCAATGGTTATTATTCACATTCCTGGATTATAATTATCATATTTCAGCTCCGACTCTATCAACCAAAGTTTACAAACAAACAAGATACTGAAGATACCAAAGGGTAAATCAAACTCACACGTCAAAATCGAATGGACATGGAAAAAAACGAAAAACCGCCAAAAAGAGAAACAACAGTCTTCAAAACACAACATAAACAACAGACTGAGTAACACGAACCCCACAAAAATCAAAGGGTGATCTCATGTGCTTTGGAAGGGATAGCAGATCTGGATGTTCATGTGGCATGCATCATTTTGCTTATCTAAGTTCCAACCCTGTGTTAACCTTTGAGGTATATGTTATTCCTTACATATTTTCTTTTTTTTTTTTGTTAAATTGCTTTGTTCATATCATTTTCGTAAACGAATGTTTGGCTTTAAACACATTACGTCATAGGCATGGAAACACATGCAGTTATACGTCAGTACGGCGGGAAATCAAACCATCAAATAATCGAGATATTGAGGTTAACAGTCATCGAGTGTCTATATTATCAATAGGTTGAACTACGTTTTACTATTCCAACTGTTATGCACTTGTTATTATATCTGCTTATTGGTTCTTCCATTAGTGGTGAGCATGATTTATCACTTTTAAAGTATTCTGCGCTGAATTAGTTTGTTGAAATCAAATACAAAACAAAAACGATTCCAAACTTTTAATCCGAAGGTATTTTTAAGTCTTTTGCTTTCCAACCTTACTGTTGTTTTCATTTTGTAAACAATTCTTATCAAACGTTTTGTACTAAAACTGTATACATCGCCTGGTCATTATTGTATTTTAGATGACAATTGTGTGAATCGTTAGTAGCGACATGTGGTGAAGCATTTTGTAAATGTAACGCGTAAACAGTAAGGCGTTTTAATTTTAAACGAACGTTCCAGTGAATACATGGATTCAAGCTGTCCATAAACAATACAGCAATACCTAAAACATTTAACTATACATCTATGTTCTGTTCAATGAAATAAAATATACCCACTGACTCTTTGTTGAAATAAATTAAAATGAAGAATAATATATACAAGTACAATCTAACAGCCTATCCTCCAGATAGGACGGTCTGTCACTACAAGACAGTGTGGGCTGGCATGGCTTGCACACAGAGCTGGACAGTCTTTCACTATCATACAGTGCGGCTGGTACATTCTGTCCACCGAGTAGGACAGTCTGCTCTGTCACTTTAGAATATTCAATCCATCCTATATGTTTACTGTGTACCCAAGTACAAAGTGTACTTTCGATATTATTTCTCTTACGCAACTAATATCCGATTAACGTAACTCTGTTAGTTTACTGGTCTTTTTTATAAGAACATTCGCCTTTATACCCAAGTGGGAATACACTATTTCCTGGATAGGAGTGTTCCCAAAGTGTTGCCCTTACTAAACATGAGAATACCTCATCAACACCCCTTAAACGTACGACCACCTTCTGTAAATTCAGAAATTATTGTGTGCATTTATTATTTCAATTTTTAAAGAATGGAACAAAATACGAGATTAATTATTGCGATTCCAGGAAAATCTGAATACAGATATATGTATAAGATATCAGGTTGCGAGTTCTTATTATTGCGATACTCATCCCATCGCATTATTCGCAATAATAAAAACCTCGCAATAATTTCTGAATTTATTTTCCTGCCATACGTCTTAATCTGCATATTGCTTTCGTAAACGTTAAACATGTATCGTTACAATAAGATTCTTCGTATTTGTAACATTAACGATTAATTAACCTTAAAATACTGTTACTTTCTGTCTTCTCATACTTATCTAAATTTTGACGACAGTAGTTAAAATCTGGAAAATCGATTAGGAAGAGAGAAATCAGGATCGAAACGAAACATAGTGAATCGCATCAACTCTAAACGGAGCGCGTCAGGGTGCTACGACTATAAACGGAGCGCGTCAGGGTGCTACGACTATAAACGGAGGGCGTTAGGGTGCAACGACTATAAACGGAGCGCGTCAGGGTGCCACGACTCTACACAGAGCGCGTCAGGGTGCTTCGACTCTACACAGAGCGCGTCAGGATGCTTCGACTCTACACAGAGCGCGACAGGGTGCTACGACTCTACACAGAGCGCGACAGGGTGCTACGACTCTACACGGAGCGCGACAGGGTGCTACGACTCTACACGGAGCGCGACAGGGTGCTTCGACATGGTAAGCGTCACCTTCTATGCATGCATCACACGCAATGCAAATTACACCGAGGTCAAATGTCACAATTACGAAGAGGAGACCTTCGATAAAGTAACATACCAGTCCGTCTTAGACGGCGAAAACATGCCACTATTGAGTTGAGACATCGACACATCATATCGGTCAATGAATTCGTGATGGTGACCGTTAATCATTTACTCACTATTATTGAATAGTCCAATCCAGGTTTGAAAAAGCTTGACATACTTGAGGAAAACGTAAGTTTTTCTGGTGTGTCATAAATTTGGACATTTCCTGTATCATTTGCTGAGATGCCTGTAATTGTTTCCGTTACTTTAGCTGTAACTTCTATGTAAGTTCCCAGTTTTGGTTCAATTTCACTCATCAAAACTCGAATTGTAGCTTTTCCATTTATCTACATTATATAAAATAAAATTAAAGTCAATAGGAAAATGTCTTCGATGAATCATCTTCTTAAAAAAGAAATGTTGTCTTATAGCATCATTATAGAACGGGAATCCTAAAGACTGAAAGGCATGATTTGGTAATTCCAAAATCGCTGTTTATGCAAAGCAATATCAAATCAGCTATGCTTGTTATCAAATCAAATTATGATATTTACGTATCGTATTAAATAGTTGATACAAATTGTAAAAGGTAATTGCAACAGGTGCTTTATAATATTTTGCTCGGGACTATATTCCTTTTCACTGGTGCAATATCACTGTAGTAGAAATTAGACTTTTCGGTATAAGTAACAACATGAACGTACGTTTTGTTAAGTGAATCTTTCAAACTAATGATATTTTTGAAACTTAACCATTTAAAAATACTAATATTTTTTGTATTGATTGCAGTCTTTGTTGTTCGCACTGTGTGTATGCTCTAGAATATTTGCTTGTAGGTTGCCTTTTGTAAATACAGCGGTTTCACAAACCACGCCTCTTTTGGGGAGATATATAATATTCATTGATAATTAATTTTGTTTACGTTCTGGTTCTCTATGTTTCGTCTCGTAGAGCCATACATTGGAAATGTTACCAGTAAATATACATATGCATATCGGTGGAAAACCTAAAGTCAAGGTAGGGGTAGTACAGAAATTTAGTGTAAGTTTAAACTCTTAGAAGTTCGGGGCATATACACGTTGAAAATATGCCGCACAGCCCTATATTTTGACCTTTGAAAAAAATAGTAGTGCACTATTGAGACAAGAATTCTTCACTGGCCATTTGAGGCAGAAATTGTGATCTTTTAAAGATAAACAGGTATACAGTAAGATGTGGACTGGAGACAGAGGCAGGGTTGTATACTTTATATAATCTTGAAAGTTGTAATAATTAACTACTTAACTTAAGAGTATTCTGAAATGGTTTCAATTTGTTAGAATAGTTTCATACAGGTTCTAGGCAGTTCATGTCAGAAAACATGCACATAGGGTAAGCTTTCATTAATTTTTTTTTTTTTACATTTCTGAAGATTTTAATTAAAAAAAGGATTTTCTTATGAAAGAAAGACCATGTCGAGTGTTGTATAGCAACACTTAAACATTCAAGTATAAACAAATCATATTCACCTACCTTTTTTTTAAAATCTGAAGTACTAGTAATATATGACTACTTTTTTGTTAAATCTGAAGTACTAGTATTATATGATTGAAGTAAACACAAACGTTCGGCCTACTCAACTTAAGTGCATTAAGTTTGTTGATAGTAAATTACTTCTGGTATGCTCCATTGTCAGTTACTGAGCACAAATAGGACAATATAGCACTATAACAGACGTATAATTATACTTTTAAGTATCTACTCTATTGCATGTGGCCTCATCTCATGGAAGTCATTTTTACTCAGTTATTATTTGCTTCTCACGTGAGCTGGTTTCTTCCATTCATGAATTTTACATCAAATTTGTCATATTTTATATTATATGTACCCATAACAAAAGGTCGTTTCCGTGACAACAGCTTCAATAATGTTTTCTGTTATCCTTACTCTAACCGTAATTGTTAGAGTTTGGTCAGAAATTCGATTTTCTAGTATATAAACGGGTAGTTAAAGAGAGCACTTGTCTTTGATTTATTACCAAATACGGTTTTTTTGGGGTTTTTTTTGTTGTTTTAGTACTTATTAGTTTATTTTATCTGTAATATATACATTTATATATTATAATATATCTAAATAATACATTATCAATATAGAATGATCCATATATTTGAACAAGAATAGAAAAATAAATAAATAAATAGATAAAAATCACAGAAATTAGGAATTTTGGAAAAAGCAAAAACAAAAAACAAAAAAGTATGTCTTACTTACAGCATTCATTACAGCTCGCAAAGGATTTTTTTCAATTATTTTCGTTCATGCAATAACTAAGAGGAACATAAATGTAGTTATAAACATAGACAAAACATCAAGCATACATATAAACCAACATATAACAGTATTAAATCATAACATAGATGGTGATGTAGATAAGGTAAAGAAATGTAAGTGAAAGTAATTCAGGTACACAAAGTACCTATTATTTTATAATAAAAAATTATTCTTCTCATATTGAAAGCCAGGGATCCCAGCAGATATTGGCCATATGAAAAGGGTTACTTTTAAAAAATATATCCCTTTCTAGTGTTAGAGATTCTTTGAGGTAATATTTTAGTCCTGTAAAATTTACCTGATTTTCACAGAGTTTTGTTCTATAAATATAGAATTTTGTAAGGAGTATTATTAAGTTTATTATCTTATTATTTCCTTTGTTTCCCAAATTTCCAAATAAAATAATATCTATATTAAATTAATATTGGTGTTTGGTTATAAATCCAGTCACTAAGTTTAATCCATAAATCTGAAATTTTATAGCATGTCCAAAATATGTGCTCAATATTTTCAATAGCTTCATTACAGAAAGTACATTTATCTGTTTGTTTTATCTTAATTTTGAATAAAAATTCATTTGTGCCTATGCTTCTGTGTACTATTCTGTATTGGAACCAATGAAGTTTGGAGCTTTTTGTGGTGTGAAAAGACGTATTATGCACTTTTTTCCAATTAATTTTTTTATTTAATCTTAGAGACCATTTATCTTCACAGTTAAGCCTTGTACTATTTTTTTCTAATAAAACATTATACATATCTTTTGACCCTTTATTTGATAAAAAAAATGTTCTTATATTATATGGATGAATTGGTTCATGAATTTTATAAAGACTGTCTATAGAGATATTATGTTTGAGAGAATTTTGATATGATTTTATTGCTGATATAACCCCATTATAAACTAGAAAGTTAGATTTAATTTCATAAATATTTTTGCATTGCTCAAAAGACATTAATTTACCCTCATTATCTACCAGATCATTTATAGAAAACAGATGTGTTTCCTATTTTAATATTTTTATTATTCCAAAGTGAGTCTGCTAAACAAATTTCTTCATTTTTTTGGTATAAGTTTACTTTTGCATTTCTGTCCATGCTTTAAAAACCTCTTTCCAAAAGGGGTTTTTACATCTGTTTGATGAACCTAGAAATACTAGGTTTTTATTATTAATATTTTCTGTACTTTCTACTAGCGTTTTGAGTTTTGTATTGTTTTTTAACAACCTTCGGACCTACGTTAGTTTTAACCCTTTAATATATTCTTCAATATCTAGCATTTTCAGCCCCCCAAATTTATGATCCAGACATACTATTTCTCTTTTAATCCTGTAGGGCTTGTTTTCCCAAATAAATGAATATATTGTACGAATAAGTTGTTTAAGAGTAGTATAGCATGGTGCTTGTAATATTAAAAACAGATGATTTAATTTTGAAATAATTGGTGTCTTGATAATTGTTATCTTTCCCACTGGAGTAAGTGTTTGTTTAAACCAAATATTAATTATATTTTCAATTTCTTTTATTTTAGGATAATAGTTCAAATATTCGATTTCTTGCAAATTGACCGAAAAGTTTATTCCTAGTAGTGTGAACATACTGGAACCCCATTCCAATCCCCACTTTACACACATGGTGTCTTGACTGTATTTTTTCTTCCCTATCTATACCACCTTTGTCTTGTCCAAGTTCATATGGTGACCAGACATTTCAGCATATTTATGTAATAGGCGGAGAGTTGCATCCAGAGATTCTGGTGTACCGTCAAGAATAATTGACGTGTCATCTGCATATTGAGAGATCAAATATTCGGTATCATCTATTTTAATTCCCTTTATTTCTTTATTTTTTCGAATTAATATTTCAAGTATTTCTGCACATAAAAGAAAGATATAAGGTGATAAAGGATCCCTTGTCGACAACCTCTTTGAATTTCAAAGAATTCAGATAAAAAACAATTTTGAGAAACTGCAGAACTTATATTTTTGTAAAAGGTCCTTATCCAGTGTTTTATAGAGGGGCCAAATTGAAATAGTCTTAAAAAAATTCAATGAAATTCTATGATACAGAGTCAAAAGCTTTTTCAAAATCTATGACGAGGAGCAGTCCTGGTAAATCATTTAAGTTCTGTATGAAATAAAATATCATAAATAAGACAAGTATTTTCCCCTATAAACCTACCAGGAATGAAACCGGTCTGATCACTGTTTATAATTTGAGGTAGAACTAATTTTATACGCTCTGCTATGCAGCTTGACGCTAATTTATATGTGGTATTTAGTAAACTTATTGGTCGCCAGTTTTTCATGAACTGTTTTGGTTTATCTCCCTTTGGTATACAGGTTATAATAACTTGTCTTTGAATAATAAATAATTCCCCCTTTTTGTAACCATTAATTATAGGGCGAAATAGACATTTTCCTATATCTATCCAGAAAAAATTGAAAAATTCATTTGTTAAACCATCTGACCCAGGTCTTTTTTCATTTTTCATTCTTCGCAAAGCTGTTGTTAATTCACTATAAGTAATTTCACCCTCCAAAGATTCTTTTATGGTATTATTTAGTTTTTTAATATCAGTATACGGAATTTCACAATTAAGGTTAACATTATTCAAGCTTTCTGTTTTGGTATATAGCCTTTTGTAATAATTGTTTGCCTCCTTTAATATTTTATCATGCTCACTGACAGTGTCCCCTTTTTCATTGACTAATTTTAGAATAGTTTTATTTATAAAATGTTTAGTTTCTAAATTCACAAAAAAAGTTTGAAGGCTTTTCTCCTACTTCTATCCATTGCATTTTGGATCTGATGTAGGACCCCCCTCATTTTTTCTTGCCTTAAGACTTTTAGATCAGTTTTCTTTTTTTTTCAATTTCAGTAAAGATTTCTTGTATCAAGATTTCTTCTTCAAGTTTTTTAATATCTTCTGATAGTATTCTTTTTTTTTTATCTTTTTGTTTCTTTCTTAAAGAAGCATATGCAATTGATTTTTCTCTAATTTCTGTTAATAAAGTTTCTAAAAAGAGTTGATCGTTTATAGTAAATTGAATTTCTAAGTCATTTATCTGTTCTTATGTTTCTCTGTTGTATAATAGTGATGCATATTGTTCTTTTACTTTATTTATAGTCTCTTTAACAGCAGCTGAATATTCAATGTCATGTAGAAGTGAATTGTTAAATTTCCATAGACCTTTACCAATTATAAAGTTATTCATCTTTAAATGTAACATTATTGGGAAGTGATCAGATCTATTACTGTTAAGAATGTGTACATCATGTACATGTTGATTAAGTCCTTGTGATATTAAAAAGAAATCCAATCTTGCTTGTTTAATGGGATTAGTTTAATTAATTTAAGTCTTGTTTTCAAATTCTTTAAAACATTGCAACAGGGGTGGGGCTATAAAATGTACTGTAAAAGAAAAGTTAGAGCAAATGCAGTGATTTCTTTTAGGCTACGATTCTGATAAATAACTATGGTTGTGAGAAAAAGTGTTTTTCAAGAGTTTTCTATTTGAATAAATGTTAGTATAGGTTGCACTTTGTAAATACAGCTGTTTCACAAACCACGCCTCTTTTGGGGAGATATATGATATTCATAGATAATTAATTTTGTTTACGTACTGGTTCTCTATGTTTTGTCTCGTAGAGACATACCTTGGAAATGTTACCAGTAAATATACATATGCATAGCGGTCCAATTTATAATCTGTGGAAAACCTAAAGTCAAGGTAGGGTAGTACAGAATTTTAGTGTAAGTTTAAACTCTTAGAAGTTCGGGGCATATAAATGTCGCACAGCCCTATATTTTGACCTTTGAAAACAAATAGAAGTGCATATAAACTTTCCATTCTAGGATATGATTTTTTTCAAAACTTCATAGTAAAAGTGGTACAGTTTTAGCCGTAAAAAGAATTCCTATGGGAAATTGCATTGTCGATATTTACAGAAATGCAATCTGTATTGTATGCCCTTATATCTTACAGATATGGGTTATTTTCTTGTGAGGGAGCTGTCAACTAATAGATTTTATTATATTAACACTTTGGTAGATAGTTGTCTCATTGGCATTCAAACCACATCTACTTATTTTTATATTAATGGATACAGTTGTGGATTATGTCATTGAATAGAGAAAACGTGAAAATAATTTTCTTAGGCACACTTTTCAGATGGGCAAAGCTATTTCGTTGATGCAACAGAGAGGTGAAAGATACCAGAGTGACATTGAAACTCATATGTCGAAAATAAACTGGCAACGCCATGGCTAAAGAGAAAAAGACCAAAAGACAAACAATAGTACGCAAAAGACAACATAGAAAGCTAAAGACTGAGCAACACGAACCCCACCAAAAACTGGAGTGATCTCAGGTGCTCCGGAAGGGTAAGCAGATCCTGCTCCACATGTGGCACCCGTCGTGTTGCTCGTGTTAGTACAAACCAGGTAATAAGTCTAATTCGGTAGGTCACATTCGGGAAAAGAGGACGGGATTGTAGTTACGACATTAGGAACATATTCGCTATCATCTGTGAAACAGATATTCCATAACGGTCAAATGAGATTTTTAATTAATGTTTCTATTTATACTCGTGACACATCTGACTTCAAAAAACCATATGCTTAATCTAATAAATAAATGTAATCTACAAACTATGCATATATAACTGGCAATATTTTGACATAAGTTATATGCCATCTTTAGATAAAGGCAATAGTAGTATACCGCTGTTTAATAGTCATAAATCGATTTAACTGAAACAAATCCGGGTCACAAACCAAAACTGAGGGAAACACATCAACTATATGAGGAAACAAAACGGAACAACAGAAACACTGAATTGCTACAAAAACGAACGCCAACATACATAGAAACGGACTATGTGATAACAACTGCCATATTCTTGACTTGGTACAGGACATTTTAAGAATAAAATGTGGGTTGAACCTGGTGTTATGGCTAGCCAAATCTCCCGGTTATATGGCAATGTTAACAATACCGCTAAAATGACAACATTACGTGACAGGAATACAGTGCAAATAAATGCAATAACATTCAGGACAGAGAGATACATAAATAAATAATATATTAGTATTTTTCAACATATAACCCACAGAATAACAACTAATACCTAAAATTAATTTACGACAGAACACAAATACAGCACAATAGAAGAATGAACTGTGCGTCGCACGAATGTATCAACGCCACAAAAAGTGACGTCACAGGTAAATTTCTAAAAATACAATATAAAATTGGGATTAACTTGTAATGGTGTTATTTGATGTATTTTCTAACAATTACAAGAATATTAATATAGAATTTTGTTAGTAATTGTGAAATTATTTGTCTTTTATAACCATGTCGGTTTTTCTTCTAAATCAAACTGTATAAAATCAAATAAATCATATGCATATAGTTGATTAAATTAAAAATCATATAAATAAACTTGGTGATTAATATCTTTACTTTTACATACATATAGAAATTAAAAATAGAATTAAAACCACAAACGATAAGACATTAAACAACATCCATGCAGAATTACAAATGAAACATCATAACTAAATACATGAATGTTGGATGTATAAATACCGAGACACGTCTAATAGCAATTCGAATTTACACTCAGCAAAACAGTCATATTCGGGAATAGGTCACGTTCAATACTGAGAAGACCAGACGACGTAGATGGTAAACCACAATCTAAGACGTGGTAAAAATGTCGTTAGCTAGTTTAGACACAGAAATATCGTAGAGATCAACCAATTCGTGATTTAAATCAAGAATCATACCACCTCTAAAGTAATTGTATTTACTTTTCAGTAGGTAATGGTAATAATTCCTTTGATAAGCCTTTTGACAAAATCTTATATACACACTTTTGTATCATTTTGCATAGACTATAGTTTCAACCTCCAAAAACAGCTTTCATGTTTGAACTTTATCTGTAAATGGACTGTATATGCACAAAATTCATTTAAGGAAAAAAATGATGACTTAATATAAATTGTGCTTACAATACGTAGGAACATATGTATAACAATATAATGTCTGGAAGCTACAAAAAAAATATTAATGCTACTATCATAATTTTTCTCAGATATACCTTGAATTTCTTCACAATCTGATCTTTAGTATTTCTTGTCCATCGACGTTTAATAGTCAACTCTGCATCTCCTTGTACTGGCTTCCCAAAAGTGTACCTGCATATAATTGATATGAGTCAGATTTATTTCGTTTAATTTATACAGTTTAGCAGAAGATTAGGCTATTGATTTGATAATTCTTACAAGACCAAGTGGTGAAATGGGTGTGACAATTAACTGTGAACATACATTTGTGAAATGATTTCTGTTCGTACATCACATGAGTCTGGAATAGTCTTTTACAGGTTCGATCTTGACTATATATATAAATTTGGAATGCCAAACATTAAACTTAATATATGGTGCTGACACATCCTAAATTGTATAATAAGAACATCTTAGACGTCTTTAAAAATTCAAATATGTTAATGAACAAGCCTATTCTTTATCATATAATTACCGACAATGATAAATTGGATTATCTTGTGGTCTGTAATGTATTTTCAGTATAATAAAACATAAGATTGCGAAATTTATTAGGTCAATAATGACTTTCCAAAATTCAATTTTTCCCAAAGGAAACTGAGATTTGTGACTTTTTCAATGCTATACTAAACACTTAAATTTCTTCGGAAAAGGCCTGTACCAATTCAGGAATATAACAATTGATTTCCAATCGTTCCTTTGGTGTATCAAGACTTACGTTTGATTTTGTCAGTTTAAATGGCTCCCCGTTTTTGAACTTACCGTGAGTTTGATATTTTTGTTTAAAAAACAGTTTGTTTTTTTTTTTTCAAATATTTCACCTGAAGATTTTTGATTTGATTCCATTCAAATACCTTGAAAACATCTGAAATAATAGGAGTCTGGGTTCCTGACATAATAATCGCCATATGATAAAAGGAATTATTGGAAGAACAGTTTTCAAAAACGAAAATATTTCACCAAGACAAAATTAAGTTTTACCGTAACAGAAAAAACGCTAAACAACTCGTCAATATAGAACAACGATAGATATCAATTTTTTATATTAAAATGATAATAAACTTGCCAAAAATTCGTTAATTTATATATTTTTTAGAAATTCATATCAAGCGATATCCAATACTCATTACTTATGAAACCTACAATTATTTACTAATAAAGTAAAAACAAATATGCTAGTCGACGACCACTGTTTTTTTTTTTTTTTTTTTTTCTTAGTTCGAAGCAGAACACCAACATGTTATAATAAAAAATGCGGATCATAGGCGTGAAACTGTTTAATGCCAAAAAAAAAATCTAATTGCATTGGAACAGTTTTTAGAAAATGGACTTTATTCATTGAAGCTACCCTTGTCTAACAATTATTGAATTGCTCATGCAATAAGTATAATTTCTATAAGTTTAAAACGTCAGCTACCAACACTTGTTTATCGGTGAATATACTTCAGCCAATTTGTTTTTATAATTATTATATTTCAAGTGTGTGATTTTTTGTTGCTATTTCTTTAACGTATAAACCAAATGTCGTTCTTTTCATTTATATCACTATAAAGGTGGAAAAACAAAAAACATCAATAAGAATAATAAAATTAATACCAAAATAATAAACTAGATAAAATACTTATAAAATAAAATAACAAATGATAAAAATTATATTGAAACGTTGTTCTCTCGTGTCTATCTTTGAAATTTTAATTCATCAATCTTTGTTTTCCCATATATAGTATTTAAAAACTTAAAGTTATTTCTTTCTATTTTTTTGGTTTTCTTAAAACATCAAGTACATATTTCATTGTGGATAAATGTGATGCAAGAGTTCACGTTAATGATACATTAATCTGACGACACAAACAACCAAAAGAGATCTTGGTATTATTTTACAGTTTCTAAAAAAGACAGGAGACTATAGAGTGCATCAAGCTTTCAACCGTGTCGAGCCGGCATAAAGTTGTGATTTTCTTAAAGAGAACTTTCGAGTCATTTTGGAAAAAAATTTTGTGTCTGCGTTCGATACCTCTTTACATTTGGGAAAAAAGTATAACAAAAACACCGAACTCCAGGGAAATTCAAAAAAGGGAAGACCATAGAAATTGATAAAAACATGCGCTATCAATCAACAAGTGAAAAACAACTGAGATCAACTATGATGTGTGTTTGTCATCTATTATCTGATGATTTATATGAACAACTCTCTCTAAAATAATAGAAGAATGTGTCTTAGGACGAATGTTCCCGCTCAAGCTTAGCAATTTTCCAAATTCAAAAGTGCCATAACTCTAGAACGATAAATGACTTTCAAATCAAATTCAAACTCTGTCTGCGTGTTGTGGTTCTTAGTATTGTGTATGAGTTTTATAAAATTTGGATGGGGAAAACATTTTTTAAGTTATAAAGAGTCATAGGTTTAGAACGGTAAGTGACTTTCTGCACAAGTTCGAACTCTGTATGCAAGTTTTGATTCTTACCATTGTGTATGAGTTTCATAAAATTTGATTCAATCTTGAGTGTGGAAACAAAATAGGGACGGACAAATGGACAGTCGAAGGTAACACTTGTTTTATATATAAAAAACGAATTGCACTTTAAAGATTTCTCCTGAATTTCCGATATGCAAGTTCGAATCAGGTATTTCACTTGGGATATTGAATTTCGAGTACTGAGTGTGAAACCGTCCATAATTCTATTCTCACTTTTGATATATGGTACATACTTTGTATGATACTATATCACAAGATTACATACAATTTAATGAACAGCACGTGCTGCATACTTACAGTGCATTGATAGTAACTGTGAAAAATCTATCTGTTTTCAATTCAAATGGAGGCAATACAACGTTGACTTCAAATTTAGGTAGAACTACATATAAAAATATAAGAAATCAGTACTATCCACATTTGTATTATTAACAACAGGAATGCATGTTAAAAAGAAGTTTGAAATATATCTGTTGACAGACAACTTAACGAATCGATATCAATTTGCATATTCCGTTTTCATCGTCAAATGTCTTATACATATACATAAGATATTCTTAATTAAACTATTTTACCATCTACATAAATGATTTCTATCGGATGAACAGACACAACAATTGGTATCAGTGGGATATAATAATGTATTGTCATAATGGCATTATTCAAGGAACTTTATGGATATTGCTAAAGAGAGAGACATAGAGCATGCCAGGTTAATTCAATACAGAAATTCTAAAAACACATCAGATTATAAATTAATAATAACATCAAATGTACGTTGATTTATTTTTCATCATTACAAAATTTTTCCAGTAGGAAATGAGGTCTTACGAACACTAAACAAATACTCACCAACCCGTTCGTCAGTCTTACGAACACTTAACAAATACTCACCAACCCGTTCCACAGTTTTACGAACATTTGACAAATACTCACCAATCCGTTCCACAGTCTTACGAACACTTAACAAATACTCACCAACCCGTTCCACAGTCTTACGAACACTTAACAAATACTCACCAACCCGTTCCACAGTCTTATGAACACTTAACAAATACACTCCAACCCGTTCCACAGTCTTACAAACACTTAACAAATACTCACCAACCCGTTCCACATCAAAACCTTTTGAGTTCTTTTCTCTCTAAAAAAAAATACAAAGCTAGTTATATTACTAAACTCACCAAAATAAGGAAAATCTGCTTCATATATATATTTTGACATTATTGTTTTCATACCAAATATTTAGGTTTTGACACTACGCGCAATGTTTATGTTTCTCGATATCGACTTGTGGCTACAAGACATGTAAAGAAATAGTTCAGTATTTTCACTATTATATAGTTTCCATGAAACATTTATAAGTTATGGATCTGTTGCTCGTTTGAATCGGCTCAGTACCATCAGCTCCGTAGTCATTATTCTGGTACTGACATGATTTATATCAAACCTTCTATAATAGTTCGTTTATAAATTTTGAAATAATAAAGAAGGTTTCAGCTCCCTCAGGCAAAGTGGACCTAAGGTGGATTTGGCTATTCTTTTTTATGTCCTTTTTGGTCGTAAAGCTCTTCAACTCTTTCGGTTCTTATGCATTGTTAGCTGTCAAATATTCGGCTTTGAACGTTCCTGTTGAAGTGGAATCCACCAAAGTGCATCGGGCGCATGAAATTAATAACGCGTTTTTTTTTTTACTTTTTAACAATGAAGTTGGATGGCTGTTACGAAAAGTAACCATAATATCAATTTTAGTTAGCTTTGTTGGAAACTGGCGACTGAAAAACCTTATATTTAATTTTCCTGTGCTGATATGAAATATTATTTATTCGTTTTTTCTTAACTAATTAATCGGATAAAAAAAAATCTGACATTAAAGTTTTTCTATACAGATAAATTAATGGCCTCGGCTTGATAATCCTTAACTTTTAATCATTTTTTTCAAACTTTTCAACGTTAACTTTGTCATTGATTTATCCTTCAAACTGTTTGATTCGAACGACACAGATGAGTCTTGGGTAGACGAAAGCTGCGTGTGGTGTATTTCAATTTTAAGCCTGATATCTTTTTCAATTGAAGAATTCCTTCCACGCAGATTTTTTTATGAGTTTAGAATGGCAGTTTCTAGTAGTTTTAAGTCTTGGATTTGAATTACTACAATACACAAGTTTGAAATGCAAAATCCTATCAGACATGTTTTTGGGGTCCCAATTACTGGCCTTCAAAAATATTCAGATGAAATATATTCAACCAGTGGTGTCAATACAAAGTGGATTCTAAAAAATTCTAAAAGATCTACTGCTAAATCTTGAATCACAATCTTTGCAATTTTGCAACACCATTAAATCTTTTGATTTTTCTACGCTTTACACTACTATTCCCCATGCTCAATTGAAAGATCGACTTCGCCATCTCATTAAACAGAGCTTTTTCCATAAAATTGGAAGTAAATTTCTTGTTTTGGGTTATTAAAATTCTTATTTTGTGAAGAATCACACTGATTCTATCAGAAAATGTAATGTGCAAATGATATTATTAAAATGATGGACTTTTTGAACGATAATATATTTGTTGAGTATGGGGGATTGATTTTTCAACAGACAGTCGGTATTCCAAAGAGTACTAATTGTGCATCCCCTACTGGTTGATTTGTTTTTGTACTCGTATGAAGCAGAATTCATTCAGAACCTTTTAAAAGACAAAAAGAAAAAGAACCTTGTGAAATTGTTAAATTTAACTTTCAGATATATTGATGATGTCCTATCACTGAATAACTCATATTTTAGTCAGTATTTACATATCATATATCCCAGTGAATTTGAAGTTAATAGAATAAGAAGATGTGGTATGAATGCCAATGAGACAACTCTCCATCCAGGTCACAATTTGTAAAAGTAAACCATTATAGGTCAAAGTACGGCCTTCAACACGGAGCCTTGACTCACACCGAACAGCAAGCTATAAATGGCCCCAAAATTGACTAGTGTAAAACCATTCAAACAGGAACACCAACGGTCTAATCTATATAAAAAGCGAGAAACGAGAAACACTTATAAACCACATCAACAAACGACAACCACTGAACATGAGGTTCCTGACTTAGGAAAGGTGCAAACAAATGCAGCAGGTTTATAGGTTTTAATAGGTGTTAAGTATACTACTGATACAAGAAGGACTGCTTCATACCTTGATCTTTTCCTCAATATTGACACAGATGGACGACTTCTCACTAAAATCTATGAAAAACGGGACGATTTCAACTTCCCAATTATCCATTTCGCATTTCGCAGCAGTAACACTACATCTGCCACATAGTATGGTGTTTACATATCTCAGTTGATACGTTATGCTCGTGCATATTCATACAATAAGGACTTCATATACAGAAGTGTGCTCCTTACGCAGAAACTTCTCAAACAGAGTTATGAGGAGGAAAGATTAAAAATGACACTCCGTAAATTTTACGGACACCATCACGAATTGGTTGATCTTTGCGATGTGTCAATGTCTAAACAAACTAACGACATTTTTACCACGTCTAAGATTGTGGTTTACCACCTTCGTCGTCTGGTCTGCTAAGTACCAAACGTTACCCATTCCCGAATATGAATGTTTTGCCGAGTGTGAATTCGCATTACTATTAGACGTGTCTCAAATGGAGGACATACAACGTTCACTTCATATTTAGGTAGAACTACATACAAAAACATCCGACATTCATGTATTTAGTTATGATGTTTCGTTTATAAGTCTTGTTTGATATTGTGGTACGTCTTATCGTTTGTGTTTTGAATTTTCTATATGTATGTAAAAGTAAAGATAATTAATCAGCTAGTCCATTCATATAATTTTTAGTTTAAAGCAATTATATGAACAGGATTTATTTATTTTTTACACAAATACGAATAATTACACCATTACTAACACAATTCTATATTAATATTCTTGTAATGGTAAGAAAATAATAAAATAACACCATTACAAACTTACTCCCAATTTTATATTCTATTTTTAGAAATTTACCTGTGACGTCACTTTTTGTGGCGTTGATACATTCGTGTGGCTCACGGTTCATAATTCTATTATGGTGTACATGGGAGGTGTTCGTTGTTATTCTGTGGGTTACATGTTCTAATGTACTATGATATTATTTATTTATGTATTTCTCTGTCCTGAGTGTTCTGGCGTTTATTTGTACTGTATTCCTGTCAGGTAATATTTATTTTTTACATTGCCATTCAAGCGGGAGGTTTGGCTAGCCATACAACCCGGTTCAACCCACCTTTTGTCTTCAAAAGTCTTGTACCAAGTCAGGAATATGTCAGCTGTTATCAAATAGTCCGTTTTATGTATGTTGGCATTTGATTTTGTAGCAGTCAGTTTTTCTGTTGTTCCGTTGTTTTCCTCTTAAAGTTGAGGTGTTTCCCTCTATTTTGGTTTGTGACCCAGATTTGCTTCAGTTAAATCGATTTATGACTATTGAACAGGGTATACTACTGTTGCCTTTATTTTCTACTTGAAATAAATTTGATATCTTATTTATGTATTGGGCATAAAAGATGCAAAGGTATATTCAAATTTATAAGTTGAATACGACCTTACAATGCCATGGAACAAACCAACTCACCAAAAGACAAACAACAGTATACAAAACACAAGATAAAAACTGAGCACCATAAACCCAACTAAAACTGGGGATGATCTCAGGAGCTCCTAAAGGGCAAGCAGATCATGATACAAGTATGGCTCGTGTCAGTACAAACTCTGTGATAATTCTAAATTGGTAGGTCACATTCTAGAAAAAGAAAATTGTGGTTACGACAATTGAAACATATCCGTCGTCATTAATAAAACAGATTTTCTATAACGGTCAACCAACTCGTGATGGTTTCCGTATTTGTTGTGTTTTGTAGACGTTTGTTTGACTTTTTGTCATATTAAGATTTTTGCCATGGAGTTGTAAGTTTATCTTCGAATGATGGAAGGATGATTTCACTTTGACATGAGTTTGGTATGACAATTAGTTCCGTTAGCAAGGCTAATTTCTGCACGATATCCGTTTGCAGGGCTAATTTCTACTGGACATCCGTTTGCAGGGCTAATTTCTACTGGACATCCGTTTGCAGGGCTAATTTCTACTGGACATCCGTTTGCAGGGCTAATTTCTACTTGACATCGGTTTACAGGATAAATTTCTACTGAACATCTGTTTGTAGTGCACAATTTCACTGGACATCCGTTTGCAGGGCTAATTTCTAATGGACATCTGTTTGCAATGCTAATTTGCTTAAATATGGCAGGATAGTCAACTAGTGGTCGGTGGCCGCTTACTGGAAGAAGAATTTCTACTGGATATCCGTTTGCAGTGGTAATTTCTACTGTACAACTGTTTGCAGTGCTCATTTCTACTGGATATCTGTTTGCAGGGTCAATTCTACTGGACATCTGTTTGCAGTGATAATATCTACTTGACACAAATGTTGTGACAATTACTACTGGAATCTACTTGACACAAATGGTGTGACAATTACTACTGGAAACAAGTTTCGAGATACATTGACTGCTGGACGGTACTTAATTACGATCAATACTGAATATGAAGTTTGAATGACGATTTCTACTGGACACTAGTATGATATTAGAGTGACTATTACAACAGGACAGGTAAGCAGGTGTTTGGAATTACAATTAAACTTGTACACTAGTTTGGAGTGACAAATATTTCTTGACATGAATTTGGACTCATGTTTTCTACTAGAAATTTGTAACTTATCAATACCATTTTTAAGAAACGATTTCTAAGGATACAATTTTGGAGTGACGATTCCTAGTTGGGATAATTTTGGATTAACAGTTACCGTCAGATATTATTTTGTAGTAACAAATGATAAGATTGGATTATTTTTTTTGGATTGTATACTGTTGTTTGTCTTTTATTCGTTAAACGCTTGTTTGTCATTGGGATGTTAGTTTATCATCCACTTAGTAGATACATATACCCTCGCTTTTGATACTTGCCATTCCTTTTAATTTTTGGAAATGTGTCTAAATACTCATTCTTAAACATATATAAAATTGTCGACCTAATGACAGAAATGTACATATTTTTCTGCAGTAATTCACTGCTTCCCCCCTTTCAGCAATAATTTGATTAGGCCAACAACTCTTTAGATCCTTGCCAGTGTACCATGCATTTTCCAACTGAAAGGTTTTATAGTAACATCCCCTGTCATTCATCCGCGTTGCTCAAAATATCATTTTTTGGAGTTGAAATTCCGAACCAAAAACAATATTGATGAAATAGAAGTATAATTGTGTCGTGTATATATTTCTATTATTCTTAAAGTCATGATAATATATGTTCCCCTGAATGATCTCTAAATCTAAAGTCCTTTGTACACAAGTCTGATATATTTTTAAGATTTGATAATCGCAAGATCTTATAAGAGAAACTGACCTTTTGCTCCACTCTGATTGTCCAGCGTCCCAGATTTGTCAAGGTAGATAATTGGAATGTCCCGGCAAATACACCAAACGCTGGGCGAACATTCAGAAATTGTTTTACTCTATTTCTTTTGGGATCCTGAAATAAACATGTGAATTGATATTACGATTTAATTATAAGGTACTTAAGGTTAGAATGTTTGACTATTCATTGAATAAAATACAATTGTTTCTAAGAAGTTGAAATGCCTTTCAATCAGATTAAAACTGATTATATATTTCAACGTGTTTTTTTCATTGTTACAACACTGGGTCAATACCTCTGCTGTCGGACCATCAGTCCCCGAGGGTATTATCAGCTCAGTAGTCAGTACTCTGGTCCTCATCCGATTTGTAACCAACCTTTCTAAATTTGCCGTTAATATATTTTGAAATTATAAAAAAAACAAAGATTTTAATTACCTCGGGGAACGTTGTCCTTAGATGAATTGAGCTATTTTGTATGTCCTTTTTGGTAATATAGCTCTTCAACTGTTTCGGTTGTTATATATCCTTGGCTTTCAAATATTCGGATTTGAGCTTTCCTAATGAAGGTATTTTACTCATCATTTCTTTTATTTCATAAAAATGTCTGTACTTTTTGTAATAAGTTAGTAATGTTTTTATTTAGTCGTTTCTTTAAATCTCCCATTATCAATATTGTTTTTCAATTATTTTTGTCGGTTCCAAATAAACTACTCTTTTTTTTATTATATATTTCAGCGGTATTATCATCGGATTCCTATAAATTTTGATGATCAAGTTGAATACATTCTATACAAAGAGTTATCTTAACGAAACATTCATGAATTAACTGACCTGTATATAAATTGTCATAGGATCTGTGAGAACTTTTAATCTTGTATTAGTACCAAACACCCTAAACTGAACTGTTGAAGAATAAATACAGTTAATGCATTAAACAAGAAGCTTCATTTGATATTTCTCTAACAAAATCAAATAGCTAGATTAATTAGAATGATTGCAATGTTCTCACTTAGGAGCTGTAACTATAGAAACGATATTCGTTCCCAAAATTACTTATGACAAATATATTCAATATTTTCCGATACAAGTGCCAATTTTTTACACTGTAAGATCTGCAACGGATAGTTTGTACCCAGTTATTTTTCCATAAGTTGACCAATCTTTCTCTTATTACTGGACTAATTCATGTTTTATCTTATTAATTGACTAATTCATGTTTTTCTTATTACTGGACTAATTCATGTTTTATATCGAACGTAATTCTGTCATTGACTTTTCATTGTTTCAAAGTATTATTTGGTCCAAAGGTCCGAGTTATATTATAGTTTACAAATTCTGCAACACTTATGACAAAGCCAAAAAAAAAAAAAAAAAACACACCATAAAATTTTATACCATGCTTTAAATTTATATTTATGAGCTATCCGTTTCATTGTTACCTATGACTGATGTACTAACTACTTAAAGTATGATGTCATAATTACCCAAATCTCCTGGTTTGTAAACGGCTTTGTCAGTCTGGATAAAAATAGATGACGCTCTGCTTGAAACTTGGATTCTTATAGCAGTTTGGTCAAATGTAATATCCCCAATAACGCTCACTCTTATCTTATAATCAAATCCTGCGGTGGTATTTCCTGGTACCTAAAAGGAATATCACATAGTTACCTAAATTCAACATTTTAAAAATATATTGAATATAAAGAATATCAAATGTGTTTTTTATTTTCAAATTAACTTCCATCTTATAAAAACTCTTTGCTGTATTTATGATGAGTATATTATAAGTTTTGTTCGATCATAGCAGTATGGTAAAATGTTTCTGGAATCATTTTCATCAAAACGTTCGAGAGGCTGTTATTGTAAAGGAAAAAAAATTGTTGGCATTATTCATTATATGACCTATGTATAGCTATATTGTTTTGGTACTCTTGCATATATTACTAGTTTTTATTTCATGAACACTGTATGTCTACATCGTGTTGGGTCACTTGCGTGTGTAACAAGGCTTTATCTAATCTCCTCTGCATGCGTATATTGTTTGGTTCAGTTGCATGTGTAACTAGGCTTTATTTCATCAATGTAAGTCTTCATTATTTTTGGTACATTTAAATATGCTACGAGGTTTTATTTCATCAACGCTGTTTGTCGACATTGTTTTGCCTAATTTCATTAAATTTGAATTGGCTAATTTACTTATTTTCTGTTCACTCAAGGAATTAAATTTAAAACGTACCTTTAATTTTTGTAATTTTTATATGCCTTCATTGGGAATCGAACCCCTCCTTGAAATCTGTTGCAATTTAGATGTCTTTTTATATATTTACAAAGTATATAAGTAGAGACTTGTAGGTTAGGTTCGAATCCCTGTATACTCTTTGTTGTTCATATTCTTTCTTTTTTTTCCCGTTTTTCTTATTTTGTATGTTATTGTTGATATATGAGGGTTTTTCCGATTATTTTTGGATTATTATTGGCTATTTCACTTATTTGAAAAGAAAATGATTACATTCAAATTGTCCATTTTTGTTTTTAATCGTAATGTGCTTAGAATTAGGCCTCTTGCTAGAAATTTCGGTAGCATACTTATTATATATACTTAGAAATAAGTTCGAATATGTCTTATTTTGTAAATTACGGTAATATTCAGATGTATGATAATTTAAAGACAGACCGGTAATGTTATATTTGTATTTCTATAACCAATTAATTGTGAACTTAAACTCTCTAACAATACATTCTAACTTAGAAAAGGAAAGGCTTTAATTTTGAAAAGACATCAACACAAAAGTTTAAGTTAGAGAAACAATGGATAAGCGTATTCTTCGGGCTCATGGTTTCTTTTTCAAGAATCAACTCTTATTCATTGTATCTATAATACGTAAACTACTGCAGCCTTAATTTTGTTCATCACCTCTGTGCGTCTATATTATTTTCATACACTTGCATGTGTAACTAAGTTTTAGTTCATCACCTCTGTGTGTCTATATTATTTTGATACACTTGCATGTGTAACTAAGTTATAGTTCATCACCTCCGTGTGTCTATAATATTTTGATTCACTTACCTGTGTAACCAAGTTTTATTTCATTGCCTCTGTATGAAATTGAGAATGGAACCGGGGAATGTGTCAAAGAGACAACAACCCAACATTGTTTTAGTATACTGGTTTGTGTTTAATTTTACCAATTTCACCCTGCATATCCTTCTATTCAAATGTTTTATACTTACATTTATATTAACAACTCCATATCCCCCTTTAAAAAAAAGAAATAATACCTTCAATTGTAGAGCAACAAGTTCATCAATGTATGCAATATTGACTGGTAAAGCTAGAATTATCTTGTACGTTTACAATAATTTACATTCTAAGTATGATTGGTCATCTATGATAATATCAAAGACTTCTAAGTGATTTTGACAGTATGTTTGATCACTTTTATACTTTTGGAATTCATGCAATTCACTCACTTTTCTAATTCTCTTTGTACAACTTCTGCCACAATTCATTTCCAACGTTTCTTTGTGTAAGGTATAATAATTTCCTCATTCTATTATGACGTGGAGTGAACAGTTCCTTGTGTTAAAGATAACTTTGTTATTCTGCTTATAAAAGTAAAATCACAAAAATACTGAACTCCGAGGAAAATTCAAAAAGGAAAGTCCTTAATCAAATGGCAAAATCAACAGCTCAAACACATCAAACGAATGGACAACAACTGTCATATTCCTTATATTTATAATGTATTCAAAATTTGTCCCGCTTGGTCGATTTTATCAATTTGATCATAATATATTTTATGAACAACAATGTTATATATATTTTAACTCACGACGTAAATTTCGTTGTGCCTGGGCTGTAGCTATTGTTCCGTTTTGTTTGTCTAGTATTGTTACGAAGATTGTCACTTGTCTATCGCTTCTTTTTAAAGCTGATAAACAAATTCTAGCGGATGATCCAGCTCTTATCCGTTTTGGTACAGTTACAATGTATGTACTGAAACAAAATTACAAAGTAAATTATTGAAGTTACAGTTTTCTGTAATTTAGATCTTATGATTTTCTGAATCCGTATTCATTTTTAATCATGATTTCAATACGAAACCTTTTCAAAGAAATGAGAATCCTATAAAAGTTGAGGTCCAAACCATATTTTTTCTAACACCATTCAGTACATGTACTTGTCAGGTTATTTTGGTCTGATATGTCAGTTATTATAGTTTTAAGCTGGTAAAATGAACTTAATGCTTATTGGCTCAAATAGGATATACAAACAAAAGTTCCGGTTGGAGAAATGAAATCAATACGCCAATAAAGATTTTTAATTCAAAATTGTTATCATTTTATGTTGATTGGATTGCATTCACATTCATTGCTCTTAAAAATTTCACATTAAAGCATGTAATAAGAACAGAAACTAGGGTGATGATTGACAGTGGTTAATCGTCTGTGAATGCGCAGCAAAATAGCATATCTTCGTTGTTCGATATGTTATTTTATAGATAATACCAAACTTAATAAATATCAAAATCTATTTTCATTCAAACAAACGTCAAAATAAACGAACTATTTGTTTCAAGATTCAAGAAAGCTTATGTCGCATATATCCTTTGGACTTGAAATGAAGAATTCATTTATGTGTATCATAGGTTCACTTAGGTCTGCTTCATATGTTGACCAACATTAAGGCTATAAATTTCCTATGGGGATCGGTTGAAAATAAACTTTAGCAAAAGGTACGACTTTAATTTTTAAATTATAAACCTTTTTTTTTCATGTAACAACCCTTGCATTATGTAATCTCTAAATTGATATGATATTTCACAGCTGTGATATCTGTCAGGATTTCATTGAGAGATGGTTACTGAGTACAAAGACGATATTAAACCAAAGGGTTCTAAATAGTAAAGTTGGAGACATCTCTTCTAAAGGTTTATGGAAGCCTTCATGGTTTGGTTGATCTTAACTTTGTACTTGTTTGGCTTTATAACTATTTTGATCTGAGCGTCACTGATGAGTCTTATGCAGACGAAACGCGCGTCTGGCGTATTGAATTATAATCCTGGTACCTTTGATAACTATTATGTAATATCTGGAATATCTGTATTATAGATGACGAGGGATATGTTTCATTTGTCGTTACCACATTTCCGTCATGCTTTTGGCGTTTATCACATCAACAAATGTAATACCAACAGATTGTGTTCGCGTCAATAACAACACGGCGTATTCAATAAGCGGTGCAGAAAATGCATACCCCGCGTTCACTTACGTTATTGTTATAATCATTTCATATTTACTTTTTTTATTAATTCAAATGACAAATAAACAGCATGTTTGATTTAACGGGTAAATTCAAAATAGTTGGAAACCCATAAAACCTGACACAAATAACCAACTGAACGAATAGAAAACACATCTCATATTCCTGACTTAATACGAGCATTTTCTGATGAAAACGGTGGGTTTAACCTGGTTTTATAGCTCACTTAACTACTTATATCCCCATCAACTGGTTCCTATATTGACTTGTATTGTAAAAGTATCCAGTATTGGTTTGTGTACAAGGACATCATACACAATTCTATTTTATTTTTTGGGTATCGTATAGTAACGGGTGCTGATTAGGGTTTTGCAAGGGAAAATGTGTTGCTACTTACTTTTTGGCCAATACGAGCTCAACGAAAGCCAATAGCAGACATACCACAAGTCTCATGGTTACTCCTTGTGTATCTATTGAATATAACATAAAAATAAAGTACTTTTAAACAATGAATTGCGCTAAAATGTTAAACATTTTCTGTACGTCTGGCCAATGTTACAGTTGTCGTACTTGTAAGTACAGGGGTATATAAAATACAGGATTTCTGTGGAAAATAGAAGAGTAAAGGACAACGGAATAAAGAAATCCTAAGCCAGAATATCACTATCAAATAAAGCTTACCTTTTTATCTTTTATGGTATTTTGTTTAAATGCAACAATCTAGAGAATGATTATATTAGCAACAAATTGTATTTTATATATCTTTCACCTAATTTTGTATTCATATTCAGTAATTAAAATGTATTTTGGTAACATGTTTTATATATCGTAAGGAAAAACCGCTTTCGTCCAGGACAAAAATAATCATTTATAAAATGCAAAACAAAAAGTCTCGTAAAATAAGCAATGCCTGAAATACATCATTGTATACGTGACTAAAGTGCATCTTGTAATGCGATTAAGTTGTAAAAATAGTTATAGTACGAATGCAATTCTGTGGTGCATTGATGTATAAATAATCTCTTTGTGCTTGTATTCACAAGCTATATAACCCTTATATAACAATGTCATTTGGACATTTTTTGTATTATGGTAATAATACAGCTTTATTAAAAGAAAGTTTGACTTGAATAGATTTACCAGAAAACGAATGCATTATGGTTCAAACAGAAAATATTTGTTCATAAATGTCTAACTGTAAAATTCTTAACGGTCATGATAAAAGTTAAACGAAATTTATCACTTAACTGAATAATAAACTAGTTTACAATACAATAAATTAAATATTTGTTTTTAAGACATTTACTATTTACATAGAAAGTAAATATAACAAAAATACCGAACTCCAAGGAATATTTAAAACGGAAAGTCCCTAATCAAATGGCAAAATCAAAAGCTCAAACACATCAAACGAATGGATAACAACTGTCATATTCCTGACTTAGTACAGGCATTTTCTTAAGAGAAAAATTGTGGATTAAACCTGGTTTTATAGCTAGCTAAACCTCTCACTTGTAGAATTTTTACATTATGACACTCTTAATGTTTGCTATAGTTATTAAATCTTCCCTTCGTAATTTTTACGGACGCCATCACGAGTTGGTTGACCGTTATGGAATATCTGTTTCACAGATGATAGCGGATATGTTCCTAATGTCGTATCTACAATCCCGTTCCTACTATTTACTCGGTTTCTACTAACTAACATGAGCAACACGACGGGTGCCACATTTGTTTTGTTTAGCCATAACGTTGCCAGTTTATTTCTGATTTATGAGTTTGAATGTCCCTCTGGTATCCTCGCCCTCCCCCCCCCCCTCCCCCCCCCCCCCCCCTTTGTTAACTTTAACGTCATTTTTGTCTGGTGTAAAGTCGTTGCATTGTCTTGGATTTCCTTGTTGACATCATATTTTGCTTTAGGGACGACCTAACTTGTATGGGCAGACATCATCATTTTACTTGTTCTTCATGTTTTGCTCCCCACAACGAAAATATACCTATTTGGATAACATGAGGTCTAGACACATTTTATATGTACTGAAAATTTGTTTTAAATAATTCTGTTTTGGTAAGAATACTGTATTAAATAATATTTACAAAATTTGTTTAAATAAGCATATTACACTGAAAACTTGCATTTTATTGAACACGTTAATTTGCATACGCGGCTGTGCAATTCATAGATTAATTCTATTCAGCGTACATTTATAAAACACTTTGCGTTTCTTAGATTAATATTTGAGAAGTTTATAACAAATTTTGCAGTTCATTTGAAAGGTTTTTTTAGGTTACTTTGTATTAATTTTCAATGGGTAATTTGCATTTATTTGGTGATGGCTGTTACCACGTCATTGACCTAAAGGCTGAGGCTTGTGTTACATATTTTTACGTATCATCAACACTTTTTGCATCGATTATTGACATTAATTTATATTGCAATTTCATGTTTTTATAAATGATTTGCTATAAGAGTAACTTGTTGTTATTTTTCACAATACTTAACATACACATTCATTACTTACCTTTTTAAGATTATGTTTATTCATCAACATTAATGTTTTTATTGTGTAATAATATGAGTGAGTTTTCTGACATTTTCGCTGGTTGTATTTGCTAGTTTTTCATTGGACACTTATATAAATAATGTTCCTATTTTCTAGACACATTTTGTGATAATGTTTTTCGTTGTTTTGCGGATAATCGTAACGAATTAAAACATGTTGAAGTTATTTTGTCTTCTCAGACTATCCTGGTAAATCTTCGGCGCATAAAATTTCATTTTTGTTTGTTTGAAGCAATGACAAATAAAGAGACAGTCGCACGGAAGAACTAGACGTTCACGTAAACACGTACGCTAGCATGAGGACGTGTATTTTTTTCTCACAATGACTGTAATTGTAGCATTCAGAACAGACAACCTCCTCCTGAAATCCTAATAACTAAAACGTTAAATACAGATGCGACACCTTGGTCAAGATAGTTTTAATCAGAAATTATTATTTTGTGTTTTCAAGAAAATCCAGTCAAATGCATTACATAAAACAATAAGGATACGTGGTTAGATTACCAACAAGACAATTATCTACCACAGAATAAGGAAGTCAAAGTAAGCAATTAAAGGTCGCCGAACAGCTCTTCAACTATGAGCAAAACCCATTCCATATGGCTACAATGTAGCAATAATATGCCTCCACAAATAAAATATAATTTGTGAAAAAAATGAAGAACTCTAAGGTTTACAATAAAACAATAAACGAAAAATAAATATGATAGACAGCAACACACGACAACCACTGGCTAACAGGCGCCTGAATTGGGACTGGGGTTAAACATGTTTGAGAGCGCTCAGTCCTATCCTTGTCTTGTACAGTGATCTTACAGCACAACATAATACCAAACTGCACAAATCAGTAAGAAGAGATTACATGTATCTCATCAAATCGGCACCACAATGTACATAAATCAAACGGCAAAAGGACAAAGCGGGAAGCTAATGTAAATTGAAACAAAAACAATCAGGGGCGAGGTTCCTAACGTGAAACAGGTTCATTGATATATTGAATAATATTGATTTTAGGATTAATTAACCCTCCACATTTGAGACGAATAACAAAAACAACATAATAACTGTTGTTGTTTTTTAGTGTGGGTGTTGTTTGCTGTTTCAATGTCCCCTTTTATGCAGAACGAAAAACGTCAAATTAAAACCAATCCATTGTAAGCCGGTTTTTGTTTAGTTTCTTTATTATCTCTTTTCCCATTTCTTACTTCGTTGACATTGTTCACGATAAAAACAAAAATAAATTAAACAGTTCAAAAGAATGTTAGTGAATAAAAGCTTATCAAATCATCTTCTTCTTTTATTCCTATAACGTTAGCTGTATTGGAAAAAAATATGTGTAGTTTTTATCTAGCACATGACTAGGTAAGATATTGTATAATTGATCAGTGATCAGGATTTTACATATACTACTGTCACATTTTCAAGTTATATATAAAAAAAAAGATTAAAGAAATATCGGGACGCATGACCACACGGAGTAGCCTACATGATTATCATGAAATATCGGGATGCATGACCATGCAGACGGAGTAGCCTACATGATTATCATTATGATCGGGAAGCATAACCAGACAACGTAGCCTACATGAGTATCATTATTGGTTATTTGTCTTTTAACCACGAAAGTATTTCGGTATTAACAATTATCTATTATACATGTTTTGAAAAAAGTTAAATCACAAAAATACTGAACTCCGAGGAAAATCTAAAACGGAAAGTCGCTAATAAAATGGTAAAATCAAAAGCACAAACAGATCAAACGAATGGACAACAACTGTCATATTCCTGACTTGGTACAGGCATTTTGAAAATACCCTGAACATTAGGTAATATTTACTAAAAGTGAAATTATGTGTATAGATAGTATCGTCCAAAAAATGAGACCCATCTTCAACAGTATTTTAAATAAGTTAAGTTGATATTATGTTGTGTCGGGGAGAACGCTTTAATGTTCTTAGTTCAAGTGTTATTAGTCAAAATCTACATAGTCATGTGTTTGCTGAAGACATTTCATCTACAGATCTATTAAGTTTTACCAAGCTAAGTGTGTAATTTTTCAGTTTAAAAAGAAATTAAATGATATTATACTTTATAAATTTCGTGAGTTCGAAACGCTTCTGTATTTATTTATACATGTTATAATGGTGATGTTATACCGATACTTAGCTCCTATCTAAATATTAATGACAAATTCTTAAAATAAGGCTGTTGTGGTAGTTTTGATGTTGTTTGAAGTTTTACACCAAATGCAAGAAGTTTGAAACCTTAATTCAAAATATGTAAGACACATTTCAAAAATATAAATACTGTTGTCTGAAAGACTAATGTGTCATGAAAGTCTGAGAAATGTTACTGTACAGATTGGAAATAATTTGATTTTCAAATTGAAATATCATATTGCAGTAATGGAATCTGTAACGTGTTAACTCGTATTTCCATGATCCTTTGAAGCCTCCATACATTTTAAGACAAATCATATGCTCTTTCTATTACCCGTTCATTCGGAAGATATCAGTCAATGATATATAAAGTAAATGTAGGTAATACCTGTCAGCTTTGTTGCTTTATTTGCTTTTTCAACATTTTGATTATTTTAATTTTACGTATTATTCGTAACGTTCGATACAATATTTTGTCGGCCTAATAAAACGTACACATGACTATAAATGTTTATTGAAAATGATTGAAGTAACTGGAAATCTGTCGGTGATAAAAATGAGAATATGTTTTTACTGTTCAAAACGATTTATGTATATTCTACTTTAAATGTACTTTTTCAGAATAATTTTGTATGTATATAAACATATGGTACATTCTTATCTGCACTGTTGTATTTGTAATCTATTGATCAATTTACATTAACAATTAAAATATGATTGTATCAGAGAATTAAAATAATGTAG